CCACAAATAGGGAACTGATAAGCCTCAAAACATTTCAAAACATCTTGGGAGTTAGCACGCAAGATGTGCGAAAAAGTGCCAAGTTTGAGGTCAATTTTGAGCGTGACCTTGACCTTGACCTTTGATTTGGAGCACATTTTCAGAATCCTCAGATTCTCTTCTTTTGTTTGACACCCAATTTTGCCGGTTTGATGCAGCCTGCCGTCCTCTAGAAGGCTTACTTTGAGATCACTACACATGTGCCGGTTTTGGCCTTTGACCTTGACCTCTGACCTTGAAAATTGACCTGAGGTCAAAAAATTTAGGTGCATTAGAATCGTCTCGTAAGGACCTTTCGTTTGGTATCGCTTTTGTTTCCGTAGCTCCCTTATTTACGGAGTTAGACAGGGGGGGGCGGAAAACGCCCCCCCCCCCCGGGCTGCGGAGGTTGGGATTACCCCCCGGGCCCGGCCGGGATATGATAGCTCTAAGTCTAATGGGTATGCACCGGGATCATGCATGATGCAACCCCTCCCCATCCCCTTCGAATGGAATTGGCCAAAAGTTGGCATCTCGTGTCTGTGAAGGTATGTACGTACAGTGATTTGCGAAATTCATTAAGTGATTGGAATGAGCCCCCTTGAATTATAATGAATCAGTCTCCATACGTCCCGTGGCTAGGTATTCCGACTATGTATTCAGTCGATACAGCACATCTGCTGGACTATTCATATAGGAAGAGGTTCACCAGCAAACGATGATGGTGCTGGGGCGACCGCCAGGGCGTTGAACTTCAGGTCAAATGCATAGTTATCATAAACCTGGTAGGCGGTAACTTCCATAAATGGAAAGACCGCTTCTCTGTGGTTTGCGTGCCGAGCTCAGAAGACATCATAAATGAGCTAATAGAGCCTTGCGTGACCTGATGCTACCCCGGAAAAGTGCATCTTCTGTTTTGTATGGCCAGAAATACCACAAGACGCGGGCTTTGTGGTATTGTTTGATCAGTTGTAAACATGTCATATAAATGTAAGTTATATTCATGCGTTCAGCCGGTCCATCCAAAAAGAGAATATCGCCAATTGATCCGATTGCCGGGTAAAATTGGATCTGCGAGACTTCGTGTGAAATCAGCCATAGCAATTCCCATGCCTGAGAACGAAGTAAACGTTAGCGTTGCATGGCGTGTACGTAATGAATGAGTATTTTCTTTTTAGTGACGTTCTGTTCCACCCACTGCCCGGCTGGTGCATGACATCATACATAGCTGAAAGCAGCTCACTTAATTAAGTGATATGTTCGGTGGTTCTATGGTTCGACACTCAAAGAGCAGCTTTTGACACTCTAAGGGTGAATTACAGCTATGTCTTAGAAACAGCAGTGACGGCAAAATCAGGAGGAAAACTGGTTCTCACGGCACATGGATGCGGGATCTCTGCGAGCACTCTTTTATCTGAGATGGCTGACGTGATAACATGGTTTCCATGACACTCAATTAAAAATACCGAGCGTTTATAGGTAAAGTACCAATGTTCGTTTCAATGTGACGTCTTGTTATTTCCGTACAAAAAGAAACGTTTGAAATGGTGTTTTACGCCACATTAAAATGCCGAGAGCTCTTTGTCAAGAAAGCAGTTAGCGAAAGAAAGCAATAAATGCGATATATACGTGAGCGAGTGTGACCTGCGATGACTACGAATAACTGTACTCGAGTGGTCTTGCTTGAGGTCCTTATCAGACGTGCAATATCATTACCTAATTATACAATTCCGATATGTTGTCTCTGGATCCTACCTGACAAACCAAAAAAGGCGGCTCGTGGGCTCTCCACAATTAGCAAGAATTCGACCAGTTCTTAGACGTAAAAAAAGACCCCTCGGAAGGACTGATCTGATCAAAAATGATCATGAACGCATACAAAAGCAACGGACAAAGGGAAGCATCACAGTTTCGGCTGAAAGACGAATGCACAGTCGTTAATCGTAACCGGCGAGCTCACGGAGGACTGGGTGACCTTGCAACGTGATCTTTGTTCCCCGTCCTCAGCTCTGCCTGGGTATCCTGGCGCCAGGTGACGGCACACAACATGATGGTCCCAACAAACTCTCCTCTCACTATCACATCAACTTCCCGCACAGGACGTCACGTCACTCCCGGACATCAATGATGTCGGGTTATCACACACGTCACCGGGTAACGCTCCCTCCCGCCGCCCGGCACTCACCGCGGCCATGGTGTGGGCACTGAACCTGGCGCCGTCGACTGCCGCCTCCCGCCGAGGATGCCACTGTCCAGAGAGGCGCGGAGAGAGCACCGGAGAGGCCGGACAGAGCGCGGCGCGGCCCGGACCGGTACCTGGGACCGCGCGCCGGTCGGGGTCAGCCGCTTCTCTCGCGAGCAGCTATTCACAGATCCAAGGCGAGCCGTCTCCGGCGTGCCCCGCGGCTTAGCGGTTCGGAGCACGCAAAAACCGCGCGCAGGCCCGCCGGGAAGTGGCGAGACTGGGAGCTCGCCGCTGCCGCCTACCGTCCGGGTAAGTCACGAGGTAGTCGGAACAGGAATCCCACGGATGGGCCCACACTAGATACGGGAGATTCGGGGAGGTCGAAAGTAGAATAGGGGTTTTGAGTTGGAAGCGTCAGAGGAGTTGCATGTTTCCCTTTGTTCACGCGAGAATCTAGATGCTTTTTGTATTCCTATAGATAATTATTGATGGTGTTAAGTGCTTGTGCGAGGAACATTGTGATAGTTCTTTGAAAATATACAAGCATGAGCCATGACCTTTTCTCGATATTGCATACGGAAAGTGCCGAAAATGTACTTTAACCCGCGCCCTGGTGGGGGGGGGCTATTTTTTGCCCCCCTCCAGACTTTTTGATATATCTCCAGAACCGCTGCGCCGATCGTCACCAAACTTTCAGTACCCTCCCGGACATCAATTTTACACATTGTGACCAAAAATTTTTCCAAAGGCTATGATAGGTTGGCCGGAAATGACGTCAGAGTGACGTCATGTTCTGCCGTTTTCGACCTAAAAAAGGGTTTCGCGGGAAGAGCTGTCAGGCCTATAGCTTTGCAAATACAGAAAAATTATAAAGACATAAAAGCTGTAGAATCAACAGGGCTACAAAACTGCTATCTCGGATTTTTGAAAATTTTGGATTTTGACCCCCAAAAATCAAAAAATAAATTTTTTGCATATAATAATCGAAAAATCCAAAAAGTTTTTTGAATTTCGCAAAAACCGGAATATATGTGAGAGTCCTTACCACCTTCCATCCACATACCAAATTTGAGATCGATACCTCTTTTTTTGGCGAAGTTATAGCGAAAAAAACTGTTCAAAATTGATGACGTCAAATTTTCAAACTCAATTTTTAGCAATTCTAGACCCCGTAGCGCAAAACAAAGACCACCATTAGACTCCCCGTGACAAGCTGCATCGAATCAATACCCATTTTATGCAAAACTATCAACTTTAAAATTTGACCTTTTTTGGCCTGACCTTGACCTGACCTTGACCTGAACTTCACCAGAAAGTGACCTAAGCCGTACCTGATAGTCTTATAACCAATACCATTGAGTTGGAAATGAAAAATTGGCCATAAAACATGCATCACACAACCTTAGTAAAGTTGGGCTCATGTGACCTGACCTGTGACCCTTGGTGACCTGACCTGTGACCTGACCTGGTATTGTCAGTGACCTCTAATAGTAATATATCTACTAGGCAACTGACGCCCTATCGCTGATTCTCGACAAAATGCGTTTTCCTCGGTGTTATAGCGCATTCCCTAGAAGACCCGTGAACGGTGAAACATTTCATCTTTGACCTGACCTGTGACGTCATCGGTGACCCCGAGGTCAATGAAATTTGGTTTTCCTCGACAAATTTGACAGGCCTTTCGAACGCCGTTTGAATTTTGTGGATCCGTCCAGTAGTTTCGGAGATACGAGGGGGGGGGGCAAAAAATAGCCCCCCCCCCCCACTAGGTCGCGTTATAAACAGACTCCACCAGGGCGCGGGTTAATGCAAGAAAATATGTGATATTTTAGCCACTGGCGTTACATATATAATCAAGATAAACAATAGTTTAAATTTTCGGTAATACCTAGAACATTTTCGGCACTTTTCGTATTCAATATCGAGGACAAGTCATGCTTGTATATTTTCAAATTCCTTTAACTAGATATTTCTTGTAGGAGATTTGGTGCAGATTTGGTCAAATGGTGCATTTGCCAGAGAGCCCGCCCCATTGTGAAAACGGCTGTTGTGACCCTTGTGACCTGACTTCTGTGACCTGACCTGGTATCAGTGACACTTCTAGTAAAACATGTGTATTAGACACGCAATGCTCCATCGATGCTTTTCGATAACATACCTTCTACCCGATGTTATAACACATTTCTTAGAATGTCTGTGAACGGTCAGAAATGCGACTTTTGATCTGACCTGTGACGTGATTGGTTGCACCATTGTCAATGAAATTTGGTCATGCTAGTTCCGCGGTGTGGTTATCGGACGACTCTTCAATTTTGCCCGAGAATTTATGGGCGGGCGAAACGTCCATCCCCCAACGGGTGGCAAGGTCCACAAATACCCCAATGGGGCGCGGGCTAGCCGAGATCGACAAAAGTTCCGAAAAGCTGTCATGATTGACTGGCTGGCATGATACGGCGCGTATGAAGCGCTGTTTGATATTTAACGAGCACAATAACCGGCCAACGGCCTTGGAGACGCAGCTAAGCAGGAGTCACCTGGGACGTCCGAAGATCCCAGGTCCCTTATTCGATGCGGTCGTCCTCTCTGTCTGCCTCCATTCGATCACGGACTCGCACAAAGACGGTATTTGCGTCCTTTTTATGGAGTTAGCTATGGTTAAAAATGGCATGTACATAGGTATCTCACGCTTTGAAATATGGTGGGAGAAAAACGAATACCACCCAAAAACGATGAAAATATGACTGTTGTAATTTCCTAGGCAATTATCTTCCCCAACAACACCTCAAAAACGCACCAGTCGCATTATGAAGCAGTGAATATGTATTCATTTTCACATATGTCAACAGTCTGTTTTAGCCGGATGATCAAAATACACACACGCATAGGACACTACACAACGAAACTTTTCAACATTGGCATGTCTCGTCAGGTCACTCACTGGCAGCAGTGCTAACCTTCCGCACGCTGCCTCGGAAAAGCGCACGGGCAAAGTCCGCGTTGGGCTTTCTTGTCAGCTACAGACTTTGACTCCACGAAAGAAAGTCTGTCAAGCTGAACGTTTGAAATGGCTTCTGGTATAAAATAATATCTGTCTGTGATGTTTAGCGGGTGATTTTACGAGACGAACTGAGGTGATGTTTAGTATTTGACGGTGTAGCCGTGCTGCTCCACCGGCTCGGCCGCCACAGAGACCGTGTTGGTCACCGTCTCGTAGGAGGGGAAGGCGCCCGCGGCGGCCGCGTAGGTGGTGGGGGCGGCGGCGTACGCCAGCGGGGCGGCACTGTAGGCCAGAGGGGCGGCACTGTAGGCCAGCGGGGCGCCGCTGTAGGCCAGCGGGGCGCCGCTGTAGGCCAGCGGGGCACCGCTGTAGGCCAGCGGGAGCAGAGCACCGTAGGCGCACGCCAGCACCAGGCAGAGAACGATAACCTGCGGAAGGACGGGCGCCTCTGTCACATGTGTGGGACTGGCAAGGGATAATTTCTGAGAAGACTGACTTTACTTTCTCCACGTCTAAATAAATTACACGATTATCTTATCAAAGTTTATCGATTCAAAGGTCTTTTGGAACTAACTTCCATAGTTGACTATCCTAAGAAATGTTATGACACATAAACAAGGTCACTGAAGCATTTGAAATAAGTTATTTTTAGGTATTTTGGTTTAGTAATTTATTATCTTCATTCCAATCCTTTTCTGATCCAAGTAGCTCATCAGAACTCACCTGCTTATACATGTTGGCGGCTGCTGGACGGTGCACCGTGCGTCGTGTGCGTGTATGTGTGTGTGCAGACCCGTCAGCCGGTGTGTTGGTTTTATACCCGGCCGCCCCCCCCCCCCCCCCACACACACACACACCCGCTGTCAGATACAGGGCGTGTCCAAGGAGGGCGGGGCCACCTCTGTGCAGAGAAAACGTCACTCAGCGCCCCGAATATGACAGCCGGACTCGTCAGCCAGGCACCAAGGGATGTCCACGAGTGAGATGTTCCGCCATGGTGGGATAACAGACCACAACTCGAAGTGTGCAGAGGTCGAATATTTTATAAGTAGTCATATGTGAAGGCAATACTGCCGTATCCATCCATAAATGCATGGAGCTATTCGTAGAGTGATCATCTTGAAGACTGACTGAAAAAAACACATTTATGTACTTAACAAAAAAAGCTCCAGCTACATACACAAGAGCCGTCGTCGGATAGGAGAGAGCTCAGAGAGCGAAGTCAGCCATCCGCATGCCGTCGCAGGAGCTCTGCTCGTGCCTCAAGACGCCGCGCCTCGGCTGCGGACACCATGATTGTTCTGCTAACGTGAACTTAGTTTTTAGGCTACGGACCGTCACAGAAAAGTTCAATTTAGCCGAGAAGTTGCTTTTAGTCAGAGAGTTTCCAACAGTTTGGGACACTTGGTGAGGAGAGCAGCCCTTCTGCTGACTGTTCAGTGTTCAGCCCTTGCTGAGCCAGGTCTGGCAGTTTCACGGCCTCGCCTAAAATCTTAGCGGGGAGGGGAGTTAATGTGTTGTCACAACTCCGCTGCCAATTAAGGATAAGTTAATCTCAACTCTGATACTTTAGACCATAGAGGTGTCAAGGCTCAGTAGACCTGAAATCGTGATACCAGTCTCGGTCTGGAAAAGAAAGGTGTAACTGACTCGCCCCAAACCACGCTAGCAACGTCCGCCGTCCAATGAGACGGTCTTTATAGTTTCAAAAATGCGTCCGTGCGTCCCAAACCAGTCTCAAGCCGACACTGGTCGTAAAGTGGTGGTCTGAAGTTCTTGTCGAACACTGTATGAGGCGTAAGATCCCACGCATCTTATGTCAGTTCAAATGCCGACTCTCTTGCGCTACCTTGAAATAAGTGGCACCTTGTGCTTATCTCGTTCAAAGATCTCTTTTACAGTCCTGCGCCTGGCTGTCCAGTTGTGGGACGACATCAAGCGGTCACATGTAGTTGACTACAGTGCAGTGGCCAAGGCTCACACAATTTTAAAAGCTGACCTCTGTAATCAATTTGCTCCATGTCATACGCTGTGCTGGTTCAGACTTTGAGCCCACCTCTGTAACACACCTACAGATCTGCTGCAAGTCTTCAACAAGGCGTCGCCTGCTCCAGCGTCACCGTAAAAACTGGACGTACTTGACACAGTGTTTGACGCGCCTACCTGTCGTCGATAGGTGACACTTCCAGGTACCGGCTTGACGAGCAGTCCCGTTGCTTTGAAGCCAACGGGACCAGAGAGTGTTGACGCTGTTGCCGGGCGAATTATATGGCTATGAGCTTGAAATTATAGGCTGTGTGCTTCACTCCTCTTGCTGTCACCAGTTAAAACATTTACCACTGCATTGCAGGCGCTCGCATAGCCTTGTACCATAGATAGGTATGTCGCATAGGTATGTATGTATGTATGCATGTATGTATGTATGTATGTATGTATGTATGTATGTATGTATGTATGTATGTATGTATGTATGTATGTATGTATGTATGCATTAACATCAAAGGCCTTCTACATCCAGCGTCGCGATTACGGCTTAGATTGGTCTTTTAGGATACCTACCTGAAATCTAGCATTAGCGGATAGCATCTGGGCTTCAGCGAATTCTCGAAGTCGGACCTCTGGTGGAGCTTCCTACACAGTTGGTGGGGCAGCTGCCCCACCAACTTGCCATTTTGCCCCAACAATAAGCACTTTGCCGGTGCCCCACCGACTTCAGCCCATACCCATTTGTAGGACTTTGTTGCTTTACAAATCAATCTTTTTTATCGCATTGACGAACTTTTGAAGATCTGTTTAATTTAAAGATTATCTACGGAATGATTTGATTTGTTTTAGTTAGGCATTTAATTTAAGTTGACAATCTAACATTGAAGATTTGGCGACTTTTTGCCCAACCAACTTCCCCGGAAATTAGCTCCAACCATGACCTCTAACATCTAAAAGGCAGTGTTGGATGTTGTGCGGGACCTTTTCGAATCCTCCAAAAAACAGCTTTCAGATTTGCTTCCCTTTGGTTTGTGTTCCTGTGAAATCTAAAGCAAACTTTTGTTAACAAAATATCTTGATTTTTTTAATGCAACGAAAAACGACAAAAATGTCTATCGGACGCTCTGCCAGCCGTGTGAGGGGCCAAATGCCGAGGAGAGGGGGTAACAACCAACCAGGACACATTACGTATTTTGCCTAAGTCAGAACTCAAACATCCCACACAAAGCTTCAGTATAGGGTCTCGTGAGTTCGTGCGGCTCAACATTCCCATTTATTTCTTCTTTTTTGTTTCCTCCAAGCTCGGCAATATGCTGCATACGACGTACACGCTAGCAAAACGGAACGCCTCAACGGTAAAATGGTATCTCGGGTCTTCCACCTCCAGAAACTTCATTCCCCTTTGTCATGTAGGTGTGCACATTGTAGTTACCTCGTACATTTACAAGCAAGCGAATTGTGAGGCTCAAGTAGCTATCCAACCCGCACAATGCACCGAGCACGGGAAGACGGGCGCCCGGCCCAGTTAGTCCGTGTGGCGGCTGCGTTTTTGCGCCGCTGGTGTGTCGGGGTGAGCTGCACCCAGTGGGGTATGGGTGTGGCCGAGTCGCCCTGACAGCCGATCTCTCAAGGCCTACTGCAACTCCCTCGGCCGGCTGAAGTATAAAACAAACCGGAGCAACCGCAGCGGCACACTTCTTCCTATCTCTTTCTAAACATGAAGACTTTCGTAAGTGTTTGACAGCGTCTGGGTGTTGAAGCAAATGTTCTGTTTAATGCTCTTTCTAACTAAGTATGACTTAGTGCCTGCTGATTTGAAACATTATTATCATGCCTACCTTGGATAGAATTATTTATCGATTGATTAAAAATAGAGATCATCCCAGCCTTAAGTAATTGATTAAAAACATGGTCATCAAATATTTTGTGACAAAAAGTAAAAGCAGACTAGTAATAACAATTAACAGACACTGCGCCTGTTCTGTCGCTTCTGCTATTAGTCAATGGTGCCTCCTCCGTCGATGTCTGCAATCTGCACCCCCCCCCCCCCCGTTGACCTGCTGCGCCATCTGACCGGCTGTGGTTCCCCCGTCCGCCGCCAGGTGGTACTCGGCGCGCTGTTGGCGCTGGCTCAGGGAGGCCTGCTGCGCAGCGCCCTCCTGCGCAGTGGCCTGGCCGGCCCGTCGCTCGGCCTGGCGCACGTCTACTCGTCCACCTCTGTGCACCCGGCGGGTATCGCGGCTCCAGCCACCGTTCAGATCTCCGGCCCAGCCGCCGTCGAGATCGCTGCTCCTGCCGCCGCCGCTGTGCAGATCGGAGAGGCTCCGGGCATTGCTGGTCTCGCCCCAGGTGCCCTGGCTGTCGGAGGCCCCGGCTTTGCCGGCCCCGGTGCCGCTGTGGAGATCGCTGGCCCTGCTATTGGTGCTCCTGGCGCCCTGGCTGTCGGAGGCCCCGGCTTTGCCGGCCCCGGTCCCGCTGTGGAGATCGCTGGCGCTGCTATTGCCGCCCCCGCCGCCATTGCCGCCAGTCCGGTGGCTCTCACCAACGTGAACGCCGCCGTGCCCCCTCCGACACCCGACAACGGCCTGTCGCCCGGCCTGCCCTCGCTGGTGAGGAAGAGCCTGGTGTCAGCCGAGGGCCGTCCCGTCACCGTCAACCAGCCGCACATCACCCAGACCGTGCCCGAGATCACGCACACCCAGGAGAACGTGCCCGTGCCGGTCCCCAACCCGGTGCCCGTTCCCCGTCCGGTGCCCGTGCCGGAGCCCTACCCAGTCACGCCTGTGATCGAGAGCACCGAGGTCGTGCAGCCGGTGGTGCAGCCGGTGGTGCACAACACCGTCACTGCTGTGCACAGCGTGGCTCATCCCGGCGCCGCCATTGGTGTGCCCGCCGGCGCTGCCATCGCTGCCAGCCCTGCCCTCGCTGCCGGATCGGCCGTCGCCACCGGTCGTGCCTTCGGTCTCACATACGGCGCCTTCGGTCTGGCTCACGGCTACAACGGTGCCGCCATCCTGGCCCACTAGAGCGCTTCAACGCCATCTGTCGGCGAAGATGTCAAGCCGAGGCTGCGACAGCCTCGGCTGACTTGTCGCTTATAGATATTTCACCGAGTACCAGAAACGTACTGGATCTTCATGCTGATGTCTATGTCTGCATCAAACTGTATTTTTATATAAAATCATTCTCTTCACCGGCTGTCGTTTTATCAGGGGCATGCAATACAAACGTTTATTTGAGTTTTAACTTTTAAGGCAAAGCTTTCGGGAAAAACTGTGAAGGTGGTGTTAAACGCCACCGTAGGACTACGCTTATGTTCCGGCTGCTTTGAAACAACAGTGAGGGGGAAAACTCTTTTTTTCACTGCTATTGAAGATAGGAATGAGCTCATATTACAAATGAGTGGTCGACAATAATTTTTCGAACCTTTCAAAAAACGTCTTACGTCTTGGGTAAACGACTATTGTGGCTGGGGTAGAACGATAACACTTTTCTTCCGATCGGCACAGCTGGTAATGAACGCCCCAAAATGGGTGCACGTGAACTGCACAATTCAGTGAAACGAGAAACACACCTAGACCGCCTCCAGTGTCCAAACATGACCGTAGGTGACCTGAAATTGGCCTTGTGTCAGCATTCATCCTAGTTGTTTCCCACAAAAAGTAGTTCGATGCAGTAAAGAGCAATATTTCATATACTTGAGATCGGATACCGGAAGCGTCTATGCCCGAATGGTGCTTTGTAGGGCAATGTTTTAGTTAGGACAGCTCTTCCTTGCCAACAATAGTAGGACCACATTAACCCATTTATGCCCAGGAATATTGACCATCATGAAAATCGACGAAATCAAAATATGTTATGCTCCTACCAGGGCCTTGTATGGAATCGAAAATAATTTTTGCCTGCAGCAAAAGTTTCTCGAGAAAAACGTAAAAAACATGCGTTGCGAAATCGCAACGAAGGGCACACCGGGCGCCATCAGCGTTGCGAAAACGCAACGACGGGCACATCAGACGGACATAAAGTACACTGAACTGCCGTATATGCTAATATGTTTTGACAAAACATCAATCAACTGTTGACAACTATTGCTTGAAAATGCGGAACCCACATCCGTCATGCTCTATAACCCGCCTAAGAGCCTCAGTGAGGAAGCATAACTTCATGATTCGCGAACGGGGAGATGGCAACACGGTCATTATCAACCATTTACGTTGTCCATTGCTGTTCATTTAAAGTTGTGGTCGACACGTATCCAGGGTGATGCTTTCTTTTTGGAAGCCAGATCCATTACCTCCACCTATCAGACCCTGCACAGTGCACACTGAATACAATTAAACGGAGGATTGGGAGTAAACCAGTGCCTCTCGTATGCGCGTATATCCGCAATCATTTTTAACCACCCTCCTAGGAGTAAAGTTAAATTCCATTGCAGGTTAGTCGTACCCACTCTCAGCAAAAAGAAAAAAGGACCGATCCGGCTCTAACAAATTACCCGCGTAAGGCGTAGCGCATCACAACAAATCGACTCCCAGTTTATCATGTTTACACCTAATCCAAAATTTTCATGGCCCCACTCTCAGCGACCTTCACGTGTAACCTCTTTCTCGAGACAATGCCAGGACAGAATGGTGATTCGACGTCAATCCGTCCTTTCCATCTTCAGGATAGTTGAATCCTCCTCCACGCCTCATCCCCCTGTTCCGGGCTGGACCGGCAACGTATATCGCAATCGGGCAGCTCACATAGGAGCGCGCCTGTAGCCGGGTGCAGTGAGTGCTTGGGAGGGGGGAAGGGGGTGGGTCATGGGTGGCGGCTGCCCACTGGCTGGGCTCAGTCTCCAGTCTACGATTGACCGTGTCCGGTCAGACAAATGTCTCCCCTAATTCCAATAATCCTGCTAGCTCTAAAAATGGTCTGATTAGATAAAAAGCCTATCAAAGTAAGAAAACAGGCGTATACTCCACATCAAGCAGCTTATGAATCTATGCGAGTTATGAATCCTAAAAATTATTATTTTCCCATGGGTCCGCCCTCATTATCCCTGCCGAAGGGCTCAGCTACCCTCAGAGGGGGCCTATCCCACTATTTGCCGACCCTCAGTTATCTTTTCTAACGTAAATGCTGGTAGTCAGCAGATTCTATCCAGAGAATGGCGATGCCTATCTGTCGCCTGATACCAGAATACATCCCCGTTATTCATTATTTATGCACAATGTATATAGTAGATCCAATTTCCAAAGGACCTAATTATCTCTCAGCTCCGTTAGCATCGCCGACCGTTTGATGCATGGGTCCTTTTCCTACCATGCGATTTTCAGATGCATGGGAACACATTGCTTAGTGAACGAACAGCCCGAGGCCGAAAATCTGCGAGAGAAAAAGAAAGGAGTGTTTGTGGCTGTTTGAGCCAGCAAATATGAAACGTGTCGCAACATTTTACGTGCGAACGCACCTTGCACTAAACATACCTACATATATACGTCCCTCATGGCATAGGCAGCGGAGCGGGGGGAGGGGGCACCGGGGCACCGTGCCCCCCTTGATTTTGCCATTTTAACATTATCCCGATAGTCGCTGCATGGAAATGGAAATGGAAAGAATGAGACCAAAAGTCAGCAGTGCTCCCCCCCCTTAATTGAAGATGTTCCGCCGCTACAGCCTCATGGCTACAAAATGAGAGAGAGAAAGAAAGAGAGAGAGAGAGAAAGAGAGAGAGAGGGGGAGAGAGTTGGGGAACGAGGAGGAGAGGGAGGAAGATGGGGGAGAGAAAGAGAGAACCCATAGCGTATCACGAGTGAAGTCTACTGTTGATATTCATACTTCCGCTACCCTGCCAATGTGCCCATCGTTGCGTTTTCGCAACACCGCTGTCTTTCCGATGTGCCCTTCGTTGCGTTCCCGCAACGCGACCGTAGTCATATTTGAAAATAGTCACAAACCCTTTTTGTAGCATTATTTCTTAACAAAATGCATATCTACGCTATTGTAGGGACTCTGCAGAATATGTTTACACAATTTTCATTACGATATTATTAAGCACTTAGCCTACTTATCTTGGTTTTCGTGACGTCATCACTCACAAAACCTTCGACTTCCCTCTGGGAGCTCTAGGCAGTAACTTACCGGCCGCACAGACTTGTAACTGCGTAGTATCATGCGCACAACCATGCTACACACGCTGAAACTTGTCTCATCGGTTAGTCTCTTTTACACACTTCTCAAGCTTCGATCACGTCGACGCTTGCTTGCGTTGCGAAAACGCAACTAAGGGCGTAAATGGGTTAACCCTATTCCTGGCGGGGGGGGCCTCAGGAGCCCCCCCCCCCTGAGGTTTTTTGGTTATTTCTCCCAAACGCGTTGAGCTAGGAAGCTCAAATTTTCTGGCTTTTCCTAAAAGGCTTCTACGCAACATGTCTGAAAATTTTGAGTTGATCTGACCTCAGGTCAGGTCACCAGAGGCGGTTTGGTGACCCTACCTCAGAAAAGTTTGCAATCACGCCAGAGCTAGAGTTTTTGACCGATCAATTTCTTCTCTTCAGGCTTTAGTTAGGGTACCAGTATGTGCAATTTGTATATCTCGAAATTTTGATATCGGTGACCTAAGGTCAGGTCAGTTTCGCGACCTCCCCATTATAAGTCAATGGGGGAAAAATCAACTCCCTGTTTTTACCACTAAAACGGGTCGGAATGGCCCCATATACCATACATGACTTCATATACGATCAACCTTCACTACCTTGAGGTCTGTTTTGCTGTTGGGCAGCTGTGAGGTCATGTGACGTCATCAATGGTCACCAAATGTTTTTGGCCAATAACTCCGTACAGGAACAAGATACAGACGCGTGGATGGTCTCATTGTGTTCAGCTCGTCAAGACGCATCGAATGATATACATGATGACCTCGAGGTCACGTGACCTGAGGTCAACCTTTGACCTTGACCTTTCGAGGTCAACATATATATCATTCGATGCGGATTGACGAGAGGATCACGATGATGCCCTTAGTTTGTTCCTAGCTTGACTAATTCAAAAGTTATTCGAGAAAAACTCTCCATATCTAGCGCCGCCATTTTGACTTTTTCGACCCCTGTGACGTCATCTTTGACCTGACCTGAAAATGACCTTTGTAAAAATTGTAGATCTTGACCGTGCGTATCCGATGCCGTTTACCGTTTATCGCTGCGATGTGTAGTTTTTTAGATCTGAAGGGGGGGCCGAATCGGCCCCCCCCCCCCCCGCCAGTTTCTTGTCCCGGCGGAGCCCGCCAGGAATAGGGTTAAAGGCTTCCCCGACTGCCTACAAAACTGAGGCTTGACAGATGGCTGAAAATGCTGAACAATTTTGTGACAAATGTATTCAAAAGCATCGAGAAATAGTCCCAATACATAGCGTTCTGTAAATGTGTCCTATCGTATCTTAACAATATCGGGTCTTCAGCAGCACATTTCATTCATAAAATTGTCAGAAAAGCCTCCAATGTCAATGTTCACTGTAAACAACACCAACCTAACGGTATGTGCTCCCTCTGTTGGTGAAACACCGTCGGAACTGAGCTTTCCAGTCCTCATCCCGCTGCTTACGTAGCAGGAAAACATGTAGCTTCACTGACACCGGAAGAACACAAGCTGGCCGGCGCCGATGACCGCAGCTGACCTCCGACCAGCGGCGGCGGCGGCAGCTGACCTCCTGCGGCGGCTATCGGGCCGTGAACTTGTCCCAGAGGTCGCGCACACTCAGCGGCCGGGTGGGCAGGCGGCGCTGAGGGTGCAGCGCCGCCTCCAGCACGTCGGCAAACACGGCCGCTACGCCGTCGCCGGTGACGGTGCTACACTCGCGGTAGGCGGCCGCTCCGAGTCGCGCCGCCACGCGCCGACCGCGCTCGGAGCCCATCGCCTCGCCGGCGCCGGCGTCGCTGGCCTCGATGGCGTCGCGCGCCTCCGCCTTGGTGCCGGCCACGACGAGCGGCACGCCGGCCAGGTGGGTGTCCAGCTCGGCCTTCCAGTCGGCCTCGAGCCTGCGCCAGCTGGACGGCTCGGTGAGGTCGGCGCAGAGCAGCGCGCAGTCCGTGTCCCGGTAGGCCGAGTAGGCCGTGAGCCGAGAGCGCAGCTGGCCGGCGCCCGACAGCGTGTCAAACAGCTGCAGCTCGTAGGTGGCGTTCAGGTGGTGGGCCGTCACGTGCACCATCTTGGACAGGCTCTCCAGGCAGGAGGACGACGGCGACGGCCGCCGACCCGAGGCGTACGTGTGCATGAGGCTCGTCTTTCCGGCATTGTCATCCCCAATCAGGACACATTTGATGGTTCTTGGGGGCAGCGACATAATGTCGTCTCGAAATACAGTAGCTAGTGAGATTCTTCCTTAGCAGATGACGTTCTCCCACGCTTGCACTCAAGGGTTCTGTAGTACCTACTTATACAGCTAGCAACCGTTTTACAGGATCACCGAAGTTCACCACTTCTCCAGCTCGATCACCCCTGCGATCACTGGCGGCAAACGACTCAGCTGTGACTGTCCGGGACAGGAGCTACAGACAGCATGGGACCACAACGGAAGACCACAAGATAAGGCCGCACACTGCACAGCGCCGGCCGCTGACGTCGCCAGGCCCAATCGCTCCGAACGGAAACGGTGACAGCGCTGGTCTAACTGGAAACTGACAGAAGTTTGGTGTAGGCGACAGGCGTTTTGTGAGTGAATTCAGCTGCGTTCCTCATCAGCAAAAAGAAACTGTAAACTGTGGTTGCTTTCGCGTACATAAATCGTGTTTGCCTCCCATTGTTATTAACGAACAAGCGATCGCGGAGGGCGTAGGTACGTAGGGTGAATAGGTCAAAAACGCCCCCATTAAGCGCGAAACCTTCTGACACTCAACCAAACACAGATTACTCAAACCTTTGGGCACCATCATGTAGCTCATTCTTTTTACTACGCTTTGAGACCAAGAAAAGACACCTGCGTGTGGTATTTAACCCCCCAAAAAGGTTTTCGCATACCCTTACAAAAGGGCGTTTTGCACCATACCCTGGGTAATACGCCCACACCCATGTGCAAAGCGCCCCCACCCCATCCATCAACAGAAAATGATAAACATGGCAGAACTTGACGTCATTCTGACGTCATTTGTGGTCAACCTATCATAGCCTTTGGAATAAAATTGTGTTGCAATGTGTAAAATGGATGCCCGGAGGAGTCCTGAAAGTTTGGTGACGATATCTGCAGTCGTTTAGGATATATCAGCAAAAAAGGACAGGGAGAGGCCTTTTCGGCACCCACCTACAGGGCGCTACCCTGCACTCTCACCACCGTGCAAAACGCCCCCCTTTCAGAAAACTGGGGGCGTCTTGCCCCATGCATCGAGTAGGCGTCTTTCCCCATCCACTCCATTTCCGGTCAACAAAATATTGACAAAAAACGCGCCACTAACGCCGCAGCATAATAAATTCAACAGAATGGCAATAAAACGCAGTTTTTAGTGAAGTGCACAATAACAAGTTTTGTGATATAAAGAGGGCATCAAAATCTTAGGAATCTTCTGTAAAAACAACAAAAACAACACCCAAAACCAACATCAGCACCTACCCACGCTGCTCCTCAAGACGCAGAACCGGAAATAGAGACCTACGTAAACAAGCAGCTGACTGTTCTGAAAGACAGGATAAAACACCTATCCGTCGATAAGAAATACGATTTTTTTAGGGGAGGCGTTTAACCCAGGGGTGCGTTTTCCCCACAGTTACCCTACGAGTTTATAGAACCATCATGCTGTCTGCAGCTCCTGTACCGGACAGTCACAGCTGAGTTGTCTGCAGCCAGTATCGATATACTACCTTATCAGGAGAAGCCTTTTTTACACACCCAATGTGCTGTGTAACCCGTCTCAATATATATTACGAGTTTACCTGTGTTCATTGGGAAAAATATCATTCCATTCCATTCCATTCCAGCTGTTTATTGGTAATACAAATTAAACGCATAATGTATAGTAAAATAAGAGGAGGCACAAAAGCCAAAGGGCTTAAGTCTCGGTGCCAACTCTCGTGATGCAGTGCACCGGAAATATGTATAATACTAGCGCAGACACATATACATGCATACTTACCTACATACATACACGTACATACATACACATACATACAAACATACTTACATACGTACATACATACATACATATATACGTAGGTACACGCCTGAACACATTCATCATCTCTCATACTTCGAACATACGCTCAGTCAGAAGTTCGCCCGACCGCCGCCCCGTCGCCGGCCACCGCCCGCAGCCACCGCCCCCGCACGCTCCGCCAGGAGGCCGCGCCCAACCCTGGCCGAGCTAAACACACCCCGTGGCGTTTTTGTAGCCTTATGCGTTCGATCGAGATACGAAAGATCTTCTGCACTAGATAACCTTCGCCCCAGTGCGGCCGGGGGGGGGGGGGGGCATATGTTACCACCCTGTCGCTTTTTTTTGCGTGTGAATAAAAACCGCGGCGCGTAGCGCCACGCCGCTTCAGGTAGCTTTTGGTATATCAATTTTGGACAATGCGTGAAATTTGTGACCCCGGGTCATGTCAGGTCAGGTCACCAGGTCAAGTTAACTGACCAAGCCTAAAAAAAAAGTTTGCAATCATGTCCAGCCTGCAGTGTTTGTCAGAAAGGTTTTAAACTTGGTGGATTGCATGCTGTTATGGGCGCCTACAATTTGTATATCTCGGATTTTTTATATCCGTGACCTAAGGTCAGGTCAGTGGCGTGACCTTTCCATTACAAGTCAATGGAGAAAAATGAATATGCCTCTAGATCCGTGTGTACGCAAAGGAACAGTCCAAATATTTCAGAATCACAATGATTTAGTCCACTCGTGATGACCAATGTGTCATTTTTGCTGATAGCCTCTAGAAAGGTCATCCGAGGTCATTTGAGGCTACAAACAGTTTTTTGCCAATAACTCGCGATTGGCAAGAGATAGAACGCTGGCGATGGTCTCATTGTGCTTGTCTTGTTGAGCCGCATCGACTGATTTGCAACATGACCTTTTCCGGTCAGGTCATGACCTTGACCTGAGGTCAAATTTTCAAGTTGAGCTTTCAAGGTCAAATTATAGTTCATTCGACGCGTCTCGGCGAGGGGAACACGATTCTGGCAATAGAAGTGTCGTGGCTTTTTGTAGTCGATAGTTATTGTCGAAAAACACTTTTCGTAAGAACAGCTGTTTTTGGAGTTTTTGCCCTCTGGAGGCTAAAGCGTTGACCTGAGGTCAATATTGATATCGACCTTTTCAAAAGAAAAGTTCAAAAGCTATCGATTGCTCTTGCATGCGTTTTTCTAGCTACCATAGTTCCTGAGATAGCGGCATGTTTTCTGAAAAATATAATGACATTGGCAAAATTTTGACTTTTGATGACCTCTGGTGACCCCAATATTGCTCTAAGGTGAAAAATGACTGAAATACTTTCAAACGTACGCATTGAGAGATATCGACTGCTTTTTACCGCGTCTTTCTAGCCCTCTTAGTTTTTGAGTTAGAGGTGGGTGTTAACATATGCCCCCCCCCCCCCCCCGACTAGGGCGAAGTTGGCTGAGACCGCCACCGGGGCGCGGGATAAATAACAAAGGTTATCCAAAAGTGTGCCTGATGTCTGCTTTCTACGCCCACTGGGTATTGAGGCTGGTTCTGGATGCTTAGATTCTAGATTCTTACTTACCCTATTTAAGAAGTCAGCTGCTATGTCCCGTACCATCTTAGGCCTTTAAAACATTTATCATGTGACTTTTCTTCAAACTGTGTGAACAATTTTATGTGACTCTGGGTCGACTAAGGGTAGCTCATAGGGCTGCAGATGCAAAAGCAATCACAAAATTAAAATATCTATAGTTGATCGATTAGTTAAAAGAAAAGTGACTTTTAATCGGACTGACAAATTCCCAATCATCGCATCAAAAACAAACATGACAGGTGAAAACAGTAAAATAAAAAATGCACCTTATAGTTTCCGGATAGATTCATTTAGAAATAACAATTTATCGTATCACTGGCGGATCCAAGGGGGTATTTAAGTCACCTGCCTTCCCTGCAGCGCCCCGAAATCGACAAACATTGCGGTTTTTCGATAATAAAACGAAAACTATTATAACTAACTTATCAGGAGGAGTATGCTTTAAACTCCACATCGGTGCGTAAGGAATCGAAAGCCGATGAGTTTTTGGAATTTGGAGAAACTGTTTGGGGGTATCCTCCCCCCCCCCCCGTAGCATCCAAGACGCCTTTCTGGATCTCCGCCAGTGTGACCGTATCGTGTTCCGGAAGAAGATAGGCGAATAGAGAGATGCATTAAAGGTATTTACCGGCATAAACACACGTACTGCGGAAATGTCAATACCTATTAAACTCGTCCATCCCGGAAAACGGATGTCTGACAGCAGCGGTGACGGTAAGTGGACCCGGAAAGATGAGCAGTGATTCAAAGTTGCCGGTAGACTATTTTGAGCGCTGCTAACTTCCCTAAAGCTAGTACAGTCACATTGAGTGAGAGTGAGACATCTTAGAAATGAGGAAATGTCAGCTTATACTGCTGTGGACAAGCTAGGCAACATATCGGCCTGCCAATATATTCACCAATTCAAAAGCCAGCTGGTCCCAATCGGCAATGGCGCAGTTGAGAATCTTCAGAGTAATTTGAATTATCAACTACACACGTGCCTAAAGCTGAAAGGAAAGCATGCGATTTAGGTCTTTGTGTCATAATAAAAAGCTTCAGGCTGTTAACCCTCGCCGACACAGGCTATTTCGCGTCCTTCGACGGCACAAGGGGTACGACCCCCCCCCCCCTCGCGCTTGGCCCCTGATTGAGCTAGAGCTTCGCGCAAAAAAAAAAAACGAGCGTCTTGCCCGTGACTAGAGGAAGCCAATAATATCCAATTTTAAGGTCCTAGGTCATCGGTTGACCTTCTATAGGTCAGGTCAATGACCCAAAAGTCGGGAAAATCGGGACCTCTTAAAACGTCGTAACTCGGAAAGTGTGGCTGCTACTGGGTTTTTCGGGGTGCTGATCACGAATATCATGTTAGCTTTGATCACATTTGATGTCTTTATGCATTTAGGCCAGTTCGGGTCAGGTCAGGTCAGGTCAACCAGTAGGGGTCCTGCCGGGTATTCGTAGTATGTACATGTCAACCGCCTCTGACAGCTTCGTAACATGTTACGAAGGCACCAAATCTACTTCGTAACTATTTAAACGGCTGCTAAATTCGAATTCAGCTCTGAAAACTAGCCTAGAAACATGTAAAACTCGAAAAAGTGAGCCCTGCAGGTCATCAAAGGTCAATGGCCTAACCTGACCTTCCGGTGACCTTGACATACATCCTAATGCATGGGAGCAGCATCAAGTCACATGTTTGAACACTTGAAACCATGAAAAGACTGCAAACGCGCGGCTAATGCAAGCCGACATAGGTACGCCAAATCGCGATTCCGGCCAAACATGATCTCAAATAGTAGGTCACAGGTCAAAGGTCACTTGGGTCCAGGTCATGAAAATTCCAGGGTTGGTGTAAAATTGATCAACTCGAGAGTACTGAGAGTTTGGTTGCGATCGGCCGCTTTTTACGCAATTTATTTGCAGAAAACCTTAGGCAAGGTTTCATCCGTTTCATCAAACCCCCTGTGCCGGCGAGGGTTAACTATTGTTATGCTTGTTAACTGATTGTTGTCGACTTAGCTGCAAAGTACTATACGATACCATCGTAGTCATTCATCACGTCACGTTGTCAAATCAAAACTGCCAATTACCATGTAGTTTTGCTCATTTTACCGTCTAGACTCCGCCAGAAGAATGGCGTCCCATGCAGAAATTCGCATGTTCCCTGAATCCTGATCCAATTGGTTCCAAGATATTATTGTTCTGTCAGCTTCTTTCTTTCTTGTGCCCCCGATTCACATAAAACGCGCAAACTGACCAGGCATAATCGATGCCTTACGCATCAACGACCATAACGTGCCCGACAAAAAAAAAAAAAAAAGAATTTTAGCGCTGCCATTCCACGGCTCGGTCATGGGAGTACGCAGTACGATCATGAAATAGTTAATTCAAAGGAACTGTTATTTTGACGGAGCTGTCGCGTTGCGAGCTAATGACATGGCGATGACACTGTTAACAGCGGAATAGTATGAACAAATAGAATAGTTATACAGGGACAATATAGGCAATGGACATGGTCATCTGCAACGGAAACGTCATAATGACTGTATCAAATATTCAGGGCCAGTGATGACTGCTGGTCGAGAGTGCTGTTTGCTGCTCACAGCTCTCATAACAATGTTATTGACTTTTCCGGAGGGGATGGTGAGGTGTGCTTCGCGTTACAGCCGTAGGCGTGCATGGACTGGATAGTGGATAGTCAAATGTCTGATAAATTTTGCATTGAGTCGTGGAGGCGGCGATAAGCGAGTTTACTTGTTTTTTTGCTATGATCACAAATGCATAAACTCACATCTCACATCAACCGTAACAAATGTGATGTTTGTATCTTCTCACATCACAATGTGAGAAGACGGGGACATTTTCTATTTCGCAAATAATTTATTGATTCAGTCCACATTGACCCTGTTACGATTACCGAAAACGCCGTTTATAATGCAGTAATATGATAGGTGGCAGATAATGTGAGGAGTTTCTAATTATAACAGTAAATGATCGCAGTAGGTATGCTGAGAAATGTGAAAATTATGGATGATGGATGATTATCCTAAGAAACATTGATCCCATTGGATGATCGATGACGATAACAATGTTCCTGAGCGTGTCTTCTTTGTGACATTGTATGCACACTGTACGTCGCATATAGAGCAGAGGTGCTAGCGCGAAGGTAGGGGATGGGATGGGTCTTGCCATTGACTGCAAATCACGCCCGCTCGGCACGTGCCTGAGAGTGGAATGCGCTGTCATGCCTTTGGACCAACGCCAATAGCTGCACGCGGGCGCGGACACAGCTGCACTGACACGATTGACAGGCTTGACATAGTCTCACATAGTGACATAGTGACTGGTGACATAGTGGCATAACTTTGTTGCATACTCGTCCATTGCGTGACAATTGATGACAAGCCCAAATCTATTTTTATTGGATGTACCAATTAGTTGAATTTAGATCAAATAAATTAGGTATGTCATCTTTTTCAAAATCTTCCTACTGATAGTAAGTTGATGATAACAAATCTAACGAGGCTGTACCTAACATTTGGGGCCTTGGCTGTAACCAAAATATTGTCATCGACATAGATAACCGTTTGCAGCTACTTCATCGCCCAACTAGACGGGTCACGACTAGCGACACGCACTCGGTATCTCCCGCCATCAAATAAACAGCACTCTCCATGACATCACACCACTGGGAAGCTGACCAGGGTGGGATTACCAGACGTTATCGGAGTGCTCATTTGCTGAAAACTGCATCTCCAGAGGGCAGTGCTGCCAGTCGGATGACGTCACAGGACTACTGGTGGGTGCTTTCACTGGCTGTGGGACTGTGAACGCCGCGTAGTGAGCGCCAGTGACGATACGGGTTCGGTGGTGTGGGGACGGGTGCACGTGAGCGGTGGTTTTACACAGTGACGCATGTGTTGGAAGGGCAGAGACGTCCTGGGGTTCAACTGCAGAGGTGTTATTTTGTTCACGGCCAGCAAATAAGGAGCTGTCGCTTTGGTGAGTACTTATAACTCCGGTTACGCTCATGTGAATAGTTTATGTGAATGTAAATAATGTGACTTTTTGTGAATTACTGTATTTTTTTTTTTTAAAGTTTGAAATATTTGTTAACATGTTTTCGCGAACTATTCGATGCGTTCGGAAGCATCATATGCCAACACAAGACCTTACTGACCTCAAATGACCTCGGATGATCTTGAGTGACCCTGGATGACCTTGAGACATGACGGAGTTTCATAGTTATGTATTTGAATGAAAAGTGGGCACGGATTTCGAATCTAGCAGCCACTTTGCTCCTGTTGATGGTTACGGGGACTTACTCGCCTTTACCATGTTAACCTTGGCCTGAAGGCAGTCTTAATTGTCGACTACACTGTAAACCAAATTGACAAGTCTTGTGTAATATAACCAATCATCTCTTGGTATGTTTACCAACTGATACTTTTTAAACAAGCCGTTGTCTGGTGCATTGCTTGTCAGGTGACAACTACGAGTCAATAGTTACTATGCACACCAACTTCTCAGTATCCAGACCAACTCTACATTTGTTTCAACGTTTGTTTCTTAACCAGTTTTGGAAACTTGTTGCCGCATGGTTATTTAACCGGCGCCTAACTTGTACTAGTCAGCTGGTCAGCATACACATGGTCAGCTGCGCCTATGACGTCAGACTTGGCGGACCAATCAGCGGTCGCCGCCAGCCGTTAGCGGGCCCCGGCGCGGCGGTTTCGAACCAGCAGTTGTCGCGCGGCCGCCGTGCAGCCTGGAGCAGCGACGAGGGCTGTTCCAGCATTTGTGCAATAAAAAGTGAAATCTGTGAACTGTGGTGTTCGTGCTGTGAGTGAGGCCCCCTCTGGCCTGCGGTACGCACTAATCGTGCTTATACCCGCGTTCGAGACGCCTCCCTTCCCCTGCGCGCGCAATGTAAGTGGGCCAGACCTGTGCATGCACATGTGAGCAGATGTTTTGTGGTCGGTGTTTTTTATATACGAGTATAAATACATTTATTTGCCTTTAATTCAACTCTTTGTGTTTTTAACTTAACTGATGGACATATATGAACTGTAAAAGCTAATCTGGCTGGCGACCATGATTTATTCGAATTATCTGCGTGATCGTGCAACTGCCATGATTGTTATGGTCAATGTTCAGGAAATATTCGTCATACGGGCATGTTATACTTCTGGCTTGATGCGGTGCACAAAATCATGTTCTTCCACATACGCAGCAGATCTTGCTTCAAAGACTTATATGCTGACGGTGCACGATAGGTATAACCACTGGGTATACCTACCTCATGCATTTACCACATTCATTCGAAAATATGCACTCGGAATTGTCTCCAGTCAATAGTATTAATTACGTGACCGTAATAAATAGTAATGATCCCAGAAACTTCCGAATGGATGTGGTGTATGCATTCATTGATTATATAACCCATCAGTATTTCGTTTCTTGTCAGCGCAAGCCTTTGAGCAATAACTGATGCCAGTCATGGTATTGTGCACCACTTCCAGGCAAAAAATAACCTGTCCGTATAGAAAATATTTCCTGAATCAGTATCGTCGCAATTGAAAACGAACGCGAATCGTAAGTTCTTAAGGTTATCAACGCAAACAAAGCAATTGTTGACAAGCTCGAACAGAGCGTTAGTACACTTACTTGTTGACAATTTGTAAGCTAGCAATGCCCAGTCAAAGGCTAGTTCATCAACAAACCAGGGGTTGGTGAACCGACAAGGAAACGAATATGCCTATCCAGAAGTTGGTAGGTCCACAAGGCCCAGACTAGTACTCAACAAGGTGACGCCTATGCGAATTGGAACCAAACTTGTAGACAAACTGTTAGTTTGTTGGCCAACAAGCCTGGGGTTGGTGAATCGACAAGGTATCGACAAGGTGACGCCTATGCGAATTGGAACCAAACTTGTAGACAAACTGTTAGTTTGTTGGCCAACAAGCCTGGGGTTGGTGAATCGACAAGGTGACGCCTATGCGAATTGGAACCAAACTTGTAACAAGGAGCCAACTTGTAGATTTGGTTTACAGTGTATTGTGACCCCACTCGACAACTCGCCCGGGCTAATTGAGCTGGAACTACGCAAAAACGAGCTCGTCCACCATAACGAGAAGCAGCTGGTTTCCAGTTTTAGGCTTCTAGGTCAATCGGCTACCTGTGCAGTCAGGTCTAAGACGCTAAGTGACGGAATAGGCTAAACAAAATAAGGCGCTAGTAAGACGGGCGGAGACCGCTAAGTGCTTAACAACTTTGCCAAAATTGATAAGAGAGCTACGATTTTGGCACCACTGCGTTTGCCATGCACAGCCACGTTGAAAATTATACTTTTTGTGTGAGAAATGTCAGCTTGGGCTCAGCTCAAGGGCAGGTGAGCTCCGGTCAGGTTAGATAAACAGTTGATGGTTAGTCGGGTATGTCATGCCGCATATCCTTCGGATCGGCAGGTCATAATTGATTCATTGCTGCCTTTTCCGATTCCTTAACCCGGCCGGGCCCGGGGGGTAATCGCAACCACCGTATAGCCCGGGGGAGCGTTTTCCGCCCCCTGTCTAACTCCGTAAACAAGGGAGCTACGGCAACAAAAGCGGTACCAAACGAAAGGTCTATATAAGCCGATTCTAAAGCATCTAAAGTTTTTGACTCAGGTCAAGTTTCAAGGTCAGAGGTCAAGGGCAAAATCCGGCATATGTGTAGTGATCTCAAAGAAGTGCTCTAGAGGACGGCACGATGCATAAAACCGGGTAAATTAGGTATGAAACGACAAAAGACAAACTGACGATTTCGATTATGTGTTCAGGATTCAAGGTCAATGTCAAAGTCATGCTCAAAATTTACCTAAAACTTTGCATTTTTCGTATATCTTGCATACTAAATTCCAAGATGTTTTAAAATGTTTTGAGGCTTATCGGGCCCCTATTTGTGGTTCACCCGTAAAAAACTGCTACAAGATCAAGGTCACCGAAGACTATCCTTGCTAGAGGCTATTTCACTGGTTCAAGTCAGTCACAAAAAATAAGACAGTTTTGCCATTCTAAGGCTCTGAATGAGTGCTTAGAGCAAAATGGATGCCAGATTAGTGATCAGCGGCTACGAATCCAACATATACGACCTTTCATGTGTCAAGGTCAACCTGGTTATTCAAGGTCACTTGAGGTTAACATAAAATTTGACCTGTTCCCAACAAAATGTATGGCATTCGACGCGTCGTGACAAGGCAAACGCGATGGTATCACTGCCGTATCTCTATATAGGACCATTTTTGTTGAAGTTATTTGCGAAAAAAAAACTAAAACCTCAGTTCGGGTCGGTGACCTAACCTCTGACCTAAGGTAACCAAAATTATTTTTGTATTTTTTCCTAGTTCAAATGCTACACAACCGTGCTGTTCACTTGTCTGTATCTCTAGAACTCTATTTTGGCAGCTAGGTACTTGAATTTTACGTCTGTGACGCCGAAATTTGGCGTGTAAGCTCAAAGAAGTGCTCTAGAGGACGGCACGATGCATAAAACCGGGTAAATTAGGTATGAAACGACAAGTTCTAAAGAAATCGACTCTTTGACGTTATCAGTGAGGTTGGGTCCAAACTTTTCACACCAATGATGTCCAATTGATGGGAGAAAAGATAGGTGCTGAAAGTTTCGTCTTTCTATAGTGTTTGGGAGCTACACTGTAAAAAATATTGACTAGCCCCTCGTCAAATGATTCTCAACGCTAAATGTCGGGGGTACAGACTAGTTTTGCATCCTACTTTTGACACACGCTGCGAGCCCCTGGCTTGTTTTGTGTTCGTCAGATGACAGTTACCAGGTGTCGGTTAGTTTTTACCACGTCCCAAAAATAGCTGGAGCGTTTCTGCCTTGTTTTGGAAGCAGGTCCTCGTTAATGCTGTGTATGATAACAAAGTACCTAGTAACAATAATAACGAAAAACAATGTCAAAACGAGGGCGGCTTGTTTAGTGACGATGCTCAAAAGAAGCATCGTCTTATTCCTACTTAACGAATGAAGCTTCAACTAGCCCGCGCCCCGTTGGGCTCTGCCGAGCAACGCGCCCGGTTGGGGGGGGGCCATTTTGGCCCCCCCCTAAGATCTCGAGAACCACGCAACATAGCGACAAGCGGTAAACGGCGTTGGATAGCCCCAACGGGGAACTACCTTGTGACCCAATTTTATTGACCTAGGTCAAACCGATGACGTCACAGGTCAGGTCAAAGGTCCAATTTTCACCGTTTACAGGCACTTCAAGAAATGCGTTGTAAAATCGAGTAAAACGCATTTCATTGAAAATCATCGATGGGGAAATGTTCTTCAAACACATATTTTGCTATTTGAGGTCACTGATACCAGGTCAGGTCACAGAGGTCAGGTCACGGGGGGGGTCACAATATGAAAGTGTCGTGTGATACATGTTTTATGGTCCATTTTACATGACAAATGCGATTATATGGGTCAGGCAGCCTTTGTGGCCAGCTTAGATCACGTTTTGGTCAAGGTCAGGTCAAGGTCAGGTCAAGGTCAGGTCAAATTAGGTCAAATTTCAAAGTTAATATTTTTACATAAAATGGGTATCGAATCGATGCAGCTCGTCACGGGGAGTTCAATGGTGGTCTTTGTTTTGCCGTACGTGGTCTAGAATTGCTAAAAATTGAGTTCAAAAATTTGACGTCATCATTTTTGAACAGTTTTTTCGCTATAACTTGGCCAAAAAACGAGATATCGATCTGAAATTTGGTATGTATATAGAAGAGCGCTGGGACTATCACATATATTCCGGTTTTTTCGAAATTCGGAAAATTTTTGGATTTTTTCAAAGTTTTTCTAAAAAAATCAATTTTTTGAATTTTTTTTGGTCAAAAACCAAAAATTTTGAAAATCCGAGATAGCAGTTTTGTAGCGCCGCTTTTTGTCTACTAGACCATATAAAGAACTTTGAAATTGCTTGATAACTGTAGATTTGGTGAGCGTTTCAAGATTGCATGTTTTTTGCTCATTTTTGCTCGAACATGACCTCAGTTTGACCTCAATAACTCCTGACCTAAGGTGACCTAAGACTTGAAATTTGGTGTGAAGGTGTCAAATTGATGCCCGGGAAGGTACTGAAAATTTGGCGGCGCTGCGCGCCGCCGTTTTCTTGCTATTCAGGAAAAACCACAGGGGGGGCCAAAATGGCCCCCCCCCCAACGGGGCGAGGGCTAGGTCAAAACTAACGTATTGCTCAACCCATAGTCAGATGACCAGCAGATCCTACGCCGCCCAATCCAGTCATCGAATTTGCCAGCGAATTCGTTTGAAGACCATCATATTATTAAATATCGGTGGTCTTCAAACGAAATCCCTTACCAGTTTGATGACGAATTCATCCGGCCCATTCCAAAAACGCTCAAGATAAAATGAAAGTGTATTTCTGAAATAATATGCTTTCTTGCAATGCACCTTTCGTATATCAAGCGAATCTTTCACTTCCAGCGCCCGTTTACAGTTATCAATCGAATCAGAAGCATGCACATACCTATCGATAGATCTGAACCTAAGAACACAGACGACATTTTGTAGAGTACCTGTCTGAGCCTATGCAGTGGAGCCCGTGAGCCGCCCAACCGCAGCTGCCTCATGAACTTGATGATAGGTCTGAACCTCAGATTGGCCAGAGCTTGGCCGTCAATAACCAGCTTATTTATATCCACAGTTGTAGTGACTTAGGGTTTGGAATTTGCCAAACCTAAGTTTTGATTACCAAGAGAAGTTTTGTACTTCTTGCACTTGCCCTTTCTTCATAACTTTGGCGGAAATCGTCGTAGTGAAACTTCAGTGTTCCGTTAGCTGTCGGTTCTTGAGAGAGTTGGCCAGGCCGGACACCGGGGGCGGCTCCACAACTTTCGAAAAATTAAACCTAAGTCCTATTGCACTGCATGGAGAGCAATTCATTTAAAATCGCTCTTGTTTCGCCTCCCCCCCTCGACAACTTTGCAAACGTCTCTGCGCGATTTGGTTGAGAATAATGGCTTATGGCAAGTTATTGAATCAGAACGTCGATCACTGCAGGTCATATATCGGCAAGCAATTCTTCATAACTAGACACTGCACAAATGAAAACGATACAGGTTTGCCCAGTGATAAACACTCGCACTGCACCAGGGCTGTCTCATCCCTATCTCCGTAACGTGTCGTGTGCGACCAATGACGTCACGGCATTGCGGCGTTCTGATTGGGCGGCAGCTCTGAATCGCCCGACTGGTGGTCCCCGCTCGACAAGCGCACGTGCGCCGACTATAGGCATTTGTACTGGCATTGACGGCAGAAAAAGTGAGGTAATGCAGAGCTCTGAATATACTTGAATAGAGTCTAAGCCGTTAGTAATACGTAAAAACGTCAGATAGGTTTCTTGTTCGTCTTGATTTGAGCTTTCATGTGATATAACTTTTACCTTAGTGTCGAGGTTGGCAGCTATGTGGCAGAGCCCTAAAGTTGGGTCATTTTCCATAGGATTGCATTACAGCCGTCCGACCCTTCGTACCTGTGACGTCACGGAAATCGCTGCTTCGGCCTAATGAGCATACCTTCTATATAGGGCCTTGGCACTGCACAGACTCGCGCACCCCCGACCGAACGCGGCACGGCACAGCGCAACAGCTGGCGCCGGGAAGCCGGGAACGCATTAAGTGAAGGATTCACAGGTGCGCAACTTTATTGCGAACAATAAAAACCTACCGCAAACGATTAAAAAAAAAGTTTTAGGGCAATCGGAAATACAAATGTATTGACTTATAGAAATAAAATTGTCATTCACCTTCCAAATAACCCAACAATTTATTTGCCGTAAAAAGTGTCTGGAAATGGAAAGTTGCTAACATGATTCAGCAAGTAGGGAAACGCAGCCGCTACCTGGCGAATAATCTCAGGCTGGTTTAGTGACGAGTGCATTGCTACGGCTTGTTCCTCAACCTTCACAGATTACTATGACAAAACTACCCCTAGTATTTTGATCATCCTGAGGCTGGCTTTCACCTAATAATTTGATGAGGGTCTTCCTCGTTTCGGATTGAGGCGAAAACAAACGTCAAACAACCTTGATAGTTAATTCAGCACTTCAAAACAAAGGTACACCTAGGGTATCATTACAATACCGGATCATAACGATCTGGATAGTTCTCAGCCTGTAAGCTAACTAAGCGGTAACTAGTCAAGTGGTAGGTACCGGAAGCATTGACAACCTGGTGACTGTTTCGAGACCCTTGTTTTGACACATAGCTCGTCAATATTTTTTACAGTGTATGGGAGCTGTCGCAAATATTCGCCAAGGGGGCGTTGTTCGCCCCCCCCCCGGACCGCAAGGGTTAACATTATTTGATTGTTATTGACGAAAAACTCTGATGACTTGAAATCATCTTACCGCCGTCATATATGACGTCTTGAAAGTTTCAAAATGGAGCAACAAATCCTCAGAGCCTGTAAAGAGTTTGATAGACATTGTCACTGGCCATGTGGACTTTAGATAACATTGCTCATTCCTAGCGCTAAATAAGCAAATCCGTTTTTTACCATTGACAATGTCTACCATTGACATAATTTGTGGTGTCAGGTGACCCATGGGGCGTCTGGTGACCCTGATGGTACTGGTGACCCCAGGGGATGCGATGTAGATGCGAGATGTGCAAGCTCTGTTAGAACCTAGGATTTTGCTATTTCCTGAAAGTTTCATCTTCCTGAGAATGATTATCTGGCTGCAAGCAGCTATGATGATGACGACGTGATGTGCGGTAACCGACGAGAGCACGTGAAGCACACCAGACCACTGCAGCGCCAGCGTCGGACCGATGTTGTGTGTAATGGAGGGAGGGGCCAGCGAAGGCAGATCAAGGTCACCGCTCGCGAGCCAGTGAAAGGAGTGAGGACACTGGCGGTCGCGCGCATCAGCTAATGCTTCTCTTGACCGCACTACTTCAGAAGCAAATCACTTACTTTTAATGCTCGTCGATTGTAAAAGTTAACCTTTCCCAAATACCTTGCTTTATTATTTGACGTAGCTGGACATAAACAAATTTGCGTATTTTTATTTTAAAAATATAACTGATGTTTTCAGCTAACTTCAGAGGCCACCAATGGATGCTACACGCAACGGCACACGCGCTCGCATTTCGCCAAGGTTGTAACTCAATTAGGAGCTAAATAAACGGGAAGAGGAATGTATATCCACCCTCGGCCTACGTATCCACAGATGGGACCGGAGGGAGTTTTGCCGTCGAACAAATGGCCACAGTCTATTTTTCTTTCATTGTTTTACAGATGACTTCTAGCACGACCGAACTCGCAATGGAGGGGGCCGACTCAGCGCGAGACATATTACCTGGCACGACATTCACTGTCAGCAACATGAACAAACAGAGAAGAAAGCTGCTCATCAAACTCGCCATTGCGGTAAGAACTATTTCAGCATATCTGATAGTTGATGCCTCGAAGTCGATCCCTACTTGTTCTACCCAAGGCTGTTCTGCCTGCTTTATATCCAATGCGAACTGACCTTACGCCGGTTGTGTCCGACACTTGCTGCTATTGCTGGTGGTGGTGCTGGTCGCCCTGGTGCCACTCCAGTGACGTCAGTCGGGTTTTGTTCTGACAGTTGCTACTGTTGCTGGTGGTGGTGCTGGGCGCACTGGTGATCCACCTGGCGCTGAGCTGCCGCCCCAGTGACGTCATCCCGCCTCCCCGGCGGCCGCTAGAGCCCTGGCGCAGTCGCGGCGAGTGTCCCAGCTCCTCCTCGTGTCCGGCCGGAGCGCCGCCTCTACTGGTCATCTCGCTGGACGGCTTCCGGCCCGACTACGCGAGCCGCGGCGTGTCGCCCATGCTGCAGGACATGATGGACTGCGGGGTGACGGCGCCCTACGTCCGCACCTCCTTCCCCAGCAAGACCTTCCCCAACCACTTCAGCATCGTCACCGTGAGCGAAAACACGCACAGAGGGGTGTGGAATGGTCATTGAGCTCGATAGTTTTCATATCAAGACGTCAGGTCATTTGTAGTATCTGGCCTGGTGCACGCTTCGCAGAAAGGCCATTTATTTGCAAAGAACGTTGTGTAGTTAGGCAAGAACACCGTGGTTATTAGCTCTCAGCAAAAAGATCGGCTTGTTGTGGGAAGAGTACGATTTGTTGCTAGCGTTTATAGCGTTCTGTATTCTTTGTTTCCAATATTGAATTGCAGTAGTATGCACCATCAACAAATACTAGCGTTCACGTAATCATCTAGCGCTCGATTGGCGCTACGCCCTGTAGCTATTGAGGCAGTCATTCTCTTTTTACCTTTTAACCTCGCTACTTCTATTCCGCTTAAGGAAGCCAAGGACTCCCATTTACCAAGGCGATATGAAGCCTCCCGAATCTTGCTGATCTTATCTTTGTCTTTATCGTGTATTTGGTTGAGGATGCCGTCACCCGTGCGTTGGTCGGTAGTTGAAATGTGCGAGTATTAGGTATGCTATACTCGGTACTCTAGCCTTTGTTGTTTGCAGTGTGCTGATACCCTCAGGGCATGTATCCGGAGTCTCACGGCATAATCGGAAATACGATTTACGACCCAGAACTGCCGGGGAGGAAATTCAAAATAGGAAAACCAGAGAACCTCAAACCAGAGTGGTGGATCGGCGAACCCGTCTGGCACACCGTCAGAAAAATGGTAAATGAGAAAAGAAAATGAAACTATGGCATTAGACTGAACTGAACAAACCTGTGATGAAGTTTGGTGCTGCACAAATTGATGAAATGTAATTCATGCTCCCCCGTGCTTTCGAAGTTGGTGTTTGATAGTTTGTGATTGATGAATGCATAGTTTTTTTCTCATTGTTAAATTTATTTTAAGTGGTATTGTTTTTTGTCTCGCTGCCCTATCGCTAGAGGTAGGCATTCATTTTCTGTCTGACATTCATTATAGTATAAACTACAGAAAGGCTAAGTATTCAGAGGTGCTTTTCAATTTCTATTTACGGTTGCTAAAATTGTTATTCTTTGAAATTGTGTGAAGTAATTTCTTGCAATTAAGGGGCTTAATCATTATAAGGTATCATTATAAGTTTATCAGAAAATTTATCACTTTAATATAGAACGAGCGCTGCATGTGCATTGTATACCCAGGAACCCTGCTTCTCCCTCCTGTATTCTTAGGGTGAAATATCAGCGGTTTTCTTCTGGGTGGGGTCTGACGTGCCCAGCCAGCTGCCGACATACTACCGAAACTACGACAGAAAAGTGCCGTTTGAGGTGCGCGTGGCTCAGGTCGTCGAGTGGCTGCGTCTCCCTGAGGGACAGCGGCCGCGCTTCTTGTCTCTCTACTTCCACGAGCCGGATAAACAGGGCCACAGCTACGGGCCCGACTCGGAACAGGTAGGTACAGTCGCGGTCTTGTTGTCGTCAACATGTTTGCAGGTAGGATAAGGTAGCTGCATAAATTATAGTGTCATCTGGGAAGCCACGTAAGAGGAATATGGCTAACAAATGTGTGTTGTGTGTGTTCTATGTACGGTCTGAGGCCCAATACGCCACACACGCACTGGCGTCAGAGCGTATACCTAACCATTAAACGGACGGACGGACAAGAAGACAAAGATTAAAGGATTAAACGACAAGGATTAAGACAAGGATTAAACGGACAAGAAGCTACAAAGATGTGACGCCATGAAAGATCGTCGTCTATAGATAATTACAATCGATCAATGTTGGTATGTGAACTGAACCCAAAGTCGTTTATTTGCCATGACCCTTCCATTGCATATTGCCACAGATATGGGCATCCATAAGTTAACCGTGGTTATCACCAATGTTGCGCCCTTCCAATGTTTAGGTATTCTAGCTCAGATCCGTGTTTCGTGTTATGTCAGAGGTCTACGTCCTCCGACATGGTTTTCGTGATATTTCCATTATTAATCACACATCCTGGTACCTGCATCGTAACGATCAAACAGCGCTAGATTTGTTTTTAATTGCTCATCTGTCTCTCTGTTTCCTAATGACACACTCACAATATCGCTACCATTCCCGCAACATGCGTGGCTTTGACTGTGCCGACATGACAAAGTGTCTAAAGTTGCTCAGAACTTTCAGTGAATCTGAGATGCCGGGCTCAGAGAGACGGTCAACAGTCGATATTTACTGCAACTGTCAGCCATATGCTGCTAAAAAGTACTATATAAGATCATCTTGTTGAGATTGCAGCGCAGACGTGATCCCCTGTGACGATGCCAAAGCTCTCGTGCACGGTTGTGGAAACTAACCGCGATATGTCATTTCATCACAAAACAACCGCCCTTCGGTTTGCAGGTGAACGCTGCAGTAGACCGAGTGGACGCCCAGCTAGCCAATCTGTACAACCAGCTGATTGAGCACGGCCTGCTGGGCTGTGTCGACATTGTGGTGGTGTCGGACCACGGCATGGCCTCCATGAGGTCAGTGGGTGGTGCCGGATGACCTCCGTGACCTCCGACCGGACAGATGCTCAGTCTGTCTGAGCAGATGTATGTGCACGACTCAGCCATGGCCGGCTGGGATGTGTTGTAAGACAAATGGCAAACAGATCCGCCAGACACATGGAAGATGAAAGGCTGTGTGGACTGCGGTATGCAGTGTGTTGTTTGCGGTCACTGAGTGTCACATTTATCGCGTAATAGTTAAATTATAATCCTTTTTACGTTGGTGTTGTTTGTTCCGGTTAGTCCGTTTGTTGGCCGTTTTTTAACGATCATATATTATCAATATGTGTAGAAATGCAGCTCAAATCACAAAAGTGCCTCCAAAGTGCTATTGCATTTACCCAGAGAGGTGAACGCTCATGAATCACTTCTTCCATCATTTCGACTTGGCCTGGTGCTTATGCGTTTTAATTGAGGACCACCGATCGTTATCGCCAGATTTGGCAACACCGAGCAGTCCCCGGTAGGAACCAACTACTAATTGATGCGTCGTGCGTGTTTCAGAGAGGACTGTGAGTCGGTCGCTCTGGATGACTTCGTCCCGGGTCTGAGTAACTCATCAGTGTACGTCAACGGTCCCGTGGCACGCATCCGGCCCTATAACGAGTCGACAGGTGGGTGCCCGCGATACACGATATCGACCGTATAACGGCTGGGTGCCCTGAAGTGTGTGTAATTGTGGGCATTGATCGGTGTGAGCTGTCACCCCCACAATGAATCAACACATCCTTGAGCATTATTTTCCTAATATTGTTGGGCTTCGATGTACTCTAGCTGCTTTCGCGAATCTGCCGGCCGCACTGTGGGCACAGGCGGATGCCTTGTTCGTTGATAACAGACGCGGACGCGGTAGACGATAGTCGACTTCCGCCAAAAGTTGTCTATACTAAAGGAAAATTCCCTTGTTTCTTTGTAATAGATAACAAGACACGATGAGTAATAAATAGAAATATAAACAACAATTTCCTGTATCAAGCGAACCACACTACCCGCCTCAATGGACGCATCACCGGTATTTCGCATGCGTCCCCCTCATACAGATGTTGCATGCCTACGTCCTTCCTCCCACGTCTCATGTTCATGCGTCTCCCCTTCCAACATGTCTCATTTGATAGTCCGTCCGGCTCCCGCGTCGCAGGTGTCATGCGTTTTCCTCATTCGTCTTATTCGTCTCCCCACAAAGAATCAGGTCTCAATATGTGTCACTCACTGGTATGTCTCATGTTTCTCCCTCCCCGCCTCACGTTTCTGTCTGTCTGTCTGTCTGTCTGTCTGTCTGTCTGTCTGTCTGTCTGTCTGTCTGTCTGTCTGTCTGTCTGTCTGTCTGTCTGTCTGTCTGTCTGTCTGTCTGTCTGTCTGTCTGTCTGTCTGTCTGTCTGTCTGTCTGTCTGTCTGTCTGTCTGTCTGTCTCTCTCTCTCTCTCTCTCTCTCTCTCTCTCTCTCTCTCTCTCTCTTTCTCTCTCTCTCTCTCTCTCTCTCTCTCTCTCGCTCTCTCTCTCCTGCGTTTATTGATCGCTAGACGATAAGCGCACGCCACGCGTGGTTCCTCGCTGGCACGCGTCTGGTGTATGTCAGTCAGTCTATCTCTCTAAATATCTGCCTCTCTTATCTTATTCTTTCTGTCTCCTTCTTTGTCTCTCGTCGCTTCTCTGTTTTCATTTATCAGCCTCTCTTTTTCTGCTTATCTTTTTCTTGTCCACTTCCCTTCATTTCACTTCCGCTTTCCCTTGCGTCTACTTACTTCCTTTTCATTCTCATCTCCTCATTCCCACCTCCTCCCACAGTGGATGAACTGGTGGACCAACTGGACTGCGCCCACCCGGCGCTGAGAGTGATGCATCGCTCCGAACTACCCGAGCGCTGGCACTACCAGCACAGTCGCCGCATTGAACCCATCATCGCTACCATCGATCAGGGCTACGGACTCTCGATCAAACGGTCCGACTTCTGCATCCGCGGCAACCACGGCTTTGACAACGACTTGGTGGACATGAGGGTGCGTCTGCTGGAGGGGAGGGGTCGGTGACAGGTCAGTCAGCCTGTCCAGAGACGGGTCGGTGGTGACACGGGGCGGACGGCGGTTTTGTAACATCAACAGATGGTCATGGGGGCAGTGGATGGCCAGCGGTCACGCGACTACGCGGGCGTGATGAGCTCAGAACGCTGCCGATGTCAGGATGGTTTGCTTATTTTTAGTGGCGAAGGGAGAGTGTTTACAGTACTAAAGTCTAAAGAAAGACTGAGTGTTGCCAGTGGTAACAACACACAACGGAAATGAAGTGCCCATTTGCGCTGTATGGAGAGACATTGAGTTAGCAGAAATTACGTGATTAGAGGCATAAGGATAGAACCAGCATCATATGGCTAGATTTAGACACGTATAGGGATAAGCGGATGACCTCTCATAAGTGCAGAATGCGCACTAAAGATGATTGCACGTTATATCTGCAGATTGGATGGTAGAATGACAGCCGGAAAGCTTTCATTTCCTTATCGTTCAGTCATCGAACGAGGAAGCAGGGTCAGCGTTGAGTCATGTACAAATTGTACATACTTATATCCTTTGCTTGCATTATGCCGGTAATGTATGCCGGACTTTAATTTGGGTGACATTAAACTAAGGAATGGAATGTATAATGACCCCTTGAGTTTTTGGGAAAAGGCGAGTACTTCAAGCGAAAGGCCCTCGTAAGGGCTCTTTCACGTCTACTTTCATGTCGAGATGCTTTTTCAGTAAATTACAAAATAATTTTGCCTTTTGAGCGCTAGAGAACTGAATAAGACAGAGCGAGGGAGAGGGAGAGAGAAAGAGAGAGTGAGAGAGAAAGGGAGAGAGAGGGAGGGAGGGAGGGGCTTAGGTAGAAAGGGAAAATGATTATTTTTTTGATAAGCTACCATGCCTTTCAACAGCTTTTGTTCAATTCAATTAGACCTTAGATCACCGGTTTTTTGAATGTATGCAATGACCGAATACCAGTTCTCCAAACACGTATCAAAACATGTTTTTTATGTTTGCAGAGTTTCTTCGTCGCCCACGGTCCCTCGTTCAAGCAGAACTTCACAACGCAACCATTCGAGAACGTACAGTTTTACAGTTTATTCCAGACACTGCTCAATCTCCCGGATCGGGAGACAAACGCCACCAAGCACAGGTTCGACGTGTTTCCAGTCCACTATGAGTGAGAAGTATTTGAATCGGAGGATGGAATAAACGTCTTTAAAATGTTTTAGGCGTTGCCACTGTGAAAGCTTTGGAGCTGACAACATCACTATATAATGATTACGCACATATTTACTAGCTATTTGTACAAATAAGTGCATATTAAGTTTTGAGTGATATATTAAACTACCCCTCAAATTCCTTCCACAACTTTCGATGTCACTTATATCGGAACAAGAGCGAAGTCAAAGAAATGTTCCCTGACATTTACGCGTCATAAACAAGCGTTTTATTTATTTAGCAGTTTACTTATTTTTACTGTTTTTAGGTACTATAGTATGCTCACATGATGCCTCCTCACAACATTATTTATCGCCAATGCCTAAACATGACAACAAGTGTCCAATATTAGCTACAGTAACCTGCGTTGTTTTTCCGTCTTTTTTTCAGTTTGGATCACCTATTACGGAATCCACCGTCAAATCTGACCGTTCTTGGACCCCCACCAAGTGTGTCCTCCAATATACCGAGTGGTCTAAATAATAAATGCCCCGGACAGGTGGAAAACTGCTCAGCTGATGTAAGTTGAACAATACATAGTTATTCAGCTTATCGTGTATAACATATGTTGGGATAAAAGTATAATTCCTCTTCATTACCAAAAAAAAAAATGATAAGATCCAGTCAACTGCATATTTGTTTACCATAATCAATGATTGACCATATGCTCTTCATTAACGTAATGAATCCTGCAAACGTCTTTAAGTTCTAAGACATACCGATAGCTGACCCATCCCATGTAGTCCTTTCACAGCTGGCGTTGTTTTGTTACAGGCGCTGTCACGCTGGCCATCAAGCCCGGATCGGTCAGGCTCCTCGTTCGCGCTGCCTGTCACACACACGAACGCACAGCTGGACGGTACTGAGGATGACGCCTTCGTGGCTGGTAGGTATTGTCTACTGGGTAGCCGGGAGGGTGTCTTTGTGACCGGTAGGTAGCAGGGAGGGCGTCCTAGTAGCCGGTATAGGTAGCAGGGATAGGACGCCCTAGTCGCTGATGGGAAGCTGGGGTCAGGCACCTCTGACCGGTTGGCCCCCCTGACCCCGTACCCACCTTTGTAGTCAATATGTGATCGTCGGACCATCATCGTCCCCGTTTGAATGGCCGATGGGTGACCGAGAACAGCACCTCCGTGGCCGATATGTGACTCACTGCTCCGCCAGCCGACACCGGACACGTGCCGCCGCCGGACAATCGTATCTATAGCCGAACAATACCTACGTGATGGCTCCATTCGCATCGGCCGTGTCCGGTCCCAGAAATGTCCGGCTAGGAGGTCAGTGGTCACGGTCAGACGTGTTGTACGTAAGCTCCAGCAACTTAATTATCATGCCGATAAGTGGAATTAATCGGCTGGACGGAGACGGGTTCGATACGCCGAGTGGTGTTCACCTAAATGGAGTGGGTGGTTCGGGAAATGGTTTCGCTGATGCATTTATGCCGATAGCTTTATGGAGAGGGCCAAAGGAAATAATTGGGTATGCTACTTTGGGTGATGAAGCCTTTGTGTAATGCGGTGACGATTGACGTGCTAATCGGAGCATTGTGGCCGATTCATAACTGGTCAATGCCATAATATCCCATAGTGGTGTCTTTTGGATGGTCGGTAATGCATGAAATATGTTTGGTAACCGCACCATAGCCGGTATGACGATTTAGCATCTTCAATAAGGTTGATTGTGTTTGTTGTTGCGCTCTAACTAGGTTTAGGTTATTTTGATGACTTGTTTTGAAGGTGACTATCCCACCGCATATGATGGGTACATTAACATCATTACCGACAAGGACTGATCCTTTTCAATGGAACGGCACTCAGGCTGAAAGAAATGTACGCAATGCTGAGCGCAAAGGCAGACCTTTATTTTCCTGATTCCGAACTCTCCCAGAGGGTGTGTGTAACGACCAAACTGCACCGACAAACATGTTTACATTTCTTCATTTAAGCTCGTTCCGCTTGCCTCCGGTGCTAAAGTAGCCGACTTCTAGAGGATTCAATTTTCAGCCACCATCGGCACTGAACTTGAACTATATCCTGATCAATGGGCATAGCCTAGCAAGCTGAAACATTAATTAACGGGTAAATGAGCCTCCGCTAGGTGTGTGCCTCGCAGTATACACTGAAAAAAATAATGACACCTAAAAGGGGTGTTTTTTGAAGCGTACCAAAAATGCGCAGTTTTCTGGAGTCCGATTACACCCGGAATCAGACACTTTCTAGGGTATTATGACACTGGTTGAGGGTGTATTTTTATGCCGTACGGCGTCAAATGATTCCCGGAATCATACGCCTTATGGAATAAAAATACACCCCAAATCAGAGTCATAATACTCTAGGAAGTGTCTGATTCCGGGTGTAATCTGACTCCTGGAAACTGCGCGTTTTTGGTACGCCTAAAAAACACCCCTTTTAGGTGTCACTTCAGGGAGTAATCGGATTTTGAGGGTGTATTTTGATCCCACACGGTGTATGATTCCGGGAATCATTTGACGACATGTGGTTTAAAATACACTCCCAACCAGAGTCAGATTACCTCGGGGGTGTCTGATTCCGGGTGTAATCGGACTCCTGGAAACTGCGCGTTTTTGGTACGCTTCAAAAAAACACCCCTCGTAGGTGTCACCTCAACGGTGTCAAATGACTCTTGGGATGGTTTTTCTATACCGGTTCAGAACCTGTTCCTGTTAGCGTCATACATAAGCTAATATCAATATTACCGGTATACCGGTACAGTGACGTCAAAACAATTTCTGTAATAATATAGTGCTTTTTGATACTATCATGTAAAGTTTTTGAGCCCTATGGGTGTCATTTCACTCAGTTGAGCGTTTTCGTAATCCGTGACTCGCTTATTAGGTGTAATTTGACCCTCAGTGGTGCCATAATATTCCGGTGTCATTTGAACCCAATGGGGCTCAAATGACACCGGAATATTATGACACTACCGAGGGTCAAATTACACTCAATAAGTCATTTGAACGGAATATTATGACACCACTGAGGATCAAATTACACCTAATAAGGGAGTCACGGATTGCGAAAACGCTCAACTGTGTGAAATGACACCTATAGGATATAAAAACTCCTCATGATAGCGTCAAAAACGCTTAGATGTGTTATTTTACACTGACACCGTGCAGGATCTTTTGACACGACACCTAAAATGGGAGTCAAAATTTTGGGAGTCAAATGACCCTTGGGTATGTGATTCTGACCGAGATCAATTTACACTGAAAACGGTGTATGGACACTGTTTTTTAGAATCGGATTACACCGTGGGTGTCAGTTGATTCCCAAATATGGGATCGTGATTCCCGGGGGGAGTAATTATTTTTCTCCGTGTAGTTTTACTCATGTTTTTCGATATTTACATCAGAGTTGAGCAATTAGCTTGCGATCTAGTTTCTGGAAAAACTGCAAATGTTGGACTTTGCTTAAAATACTCCTCAGAAATAGAACACGCAAGCCAGGGTCCATTGATTGAATAGGTTGTTGCGAATGTAACGGAGCGGTTTTATTACGCTGCTGCGATGCTTTGGTCGCTTTAATTGGACATGTGAACGAATATCAATGATCAATGAGGGGAATCGATGCAGGTAATTTTATCAAAGACATGCCAAGGTTCGTCCTTTGGGGACACTATTAAAAGAAGAGACAGCCTTAGGTCAGTTATACGATGTTCTCACAATGTTTTAGATATAAAGTTGGTCTCTCGCTGAATATTATTATTTATTACCACGCTACTGAGTCTCCTTTCTGAAAACTCCATCCAGTCCTTGACAGCGCCGGCCTGTGTTTCCCATGCCACTGCAGAGCTGTCTCCGCTGGGCAACTACCGCTGGATCCAGTACACTCTGGAGAGGGACGACAACAACAACCTCCTGGTGCCCGTGCTGCCGCAGTCCGACGGACAGTGCCAGTTCACACGGCGGGGCCAGCAGGCGGCCGTCGGCGGCAGCTGCACTCAGGACAACGAGCTCATGAGCCTCGTGCTCACACCAGGCATGTATTCACAAGCGGTGCGGAAGGAATGCATCCACTAATAATTTAGAAAACAGTATATTTTTGTCCTTCTTCGCTCAAACATTATAACGTTCAGACCTGATAATCGGCCGTCTGTGTGCGTGATACCAATACCAAAGCGAAGCGCTTTTAGGTAAGATTTAATGTTTTATAGACCTAATTCCCTCAGAGCTTGGTAGTTTTCCTATGTTTATCAGTGTATCTAACCACACCCTCTGATCCACCCCAGACGTGGAGACCTACTGGGAGCGGATATCGGCCACCCGGTACCCGGTGTACCCCGAGTACCGGGAGAGGGTGGTACCTGAGGTACTTCGGCGCCTGAGGAGGTACTCTGACCAGTACAAGGTGATGGCGGTACTGGCGGGACCCGTGTACCAGACTCATAAACTGGACAGGTTAGTCTGAAACGCAGCGCGGTAAAAATGTCTCAATTTGCTGGTTATGCTAAGAGCACCTTTTATCATGGTATATATTGGTGAACAAATACTCGTACAAGCGAATCACGTTGCATGGTTAAGGTTCCAAAACTTTTTGAAAGATCAAACTATCGCATTTTGTTGAAATGTTTGTGCCTACCACGTCATCTAGAGCCACACATCATAACATTTTTGCAACTTCACTGTTCACAGAGTAAATTTGAAATAAATCGCAGAACTTCAACCACATTATATGACATATTCATACTACAGATAAGCGCAGTCCATCCCGTTGCACGATTTCATTTTGTCTGCAATGCGACTGTGGGCAGCAAACAATGTCGCAGCCTGGGGCGAATATCGAGCGTCGAGGCGGCTTGAACCGGATTCCGTTTCCACATTGATCGGCCCGGCAGTTGGACCGACCGCCCCTCTGTCTATTCGGCTTTTGTGGCCGATAATCCAGTACATAAAATGAAAAGTTTTCCCGGTGATGCACTCTGAAACGTTGCGCCTCTTACGTTGTGTATCAAGTTTTTCTTTATTGCTGGTTATCAAGCTAAAGCAAATCTTGCGGACCCGGACCTGTGTGTGTTGTTTACCTAGACCTCAACCATTAGCTATAGTGCACGACCCGATTCATTTATGCTTCATATTGGACTGCATTTTGTGCTATTCTGATAAAACACCTTTTTCAGGCACGGCCAAAGGATACCCACTCACTTTTTCTACCAGCTGAGGATGTGTGCTGAGAGGAATTGTTCTGCTGATGAGCTGGAGCATAAGCAGTGGATCCTGCCGCATAAGGAAAACTTCAGACGCTGCGAGGTAAAATGTTATACAATTGTCTTCTTCACAAGGATACGAGGAAGCAATAAATTTAGCCGACACTTCCGCAATTGCAGGCTGTGAGATGAATTAGTGCTGAACTAGGTTGTTGATACAAATGGGCATGGTCAAAGTAGATATAGAAGACTGTAATGGTAACTACACTCGATATGTTTAGGGCAACGGAACATCGCAGAAATCGCTAGTGCTGTGATTATCTCAGTTGACATCCTATAAGCTAAAAAGTTATTCAGTAAAATATTTCAATTTGATGGGAAATGTAACGATAGGTTCGCAAGCATGGTTTTCCTATTGTTGTTACACCCATAACTATTCATATTTGTTAGAATTGCTACGGACTTCAGCTCAATTTTAGGCATCAACACATATCCAGCGCCCTTTATTCATTCCACCTATAACACAGCTCGCCTACCGCTCTCCCCGTCAGGCGCCGGCGCAGTTCGTGGATTTCCACGAGGCCACGCTGCGCGACGTGGAGCGAGTGACGGGTCTGACGCTGTTTGCCGGTCAGCCGGTCTCCCAGCCGGACTCGCCACAGCGCGGCCACGCGCGCTTCATCACCCAGATGCCCGAGTTCACCCCGCCGCAGGCCTGGGGCGCCGCGGACTCCCGGAGGAGATGAGCGTGTGGTGTTACAGACTGAGATGAACCCGGATGAAGCGGGCGGAGATGAGTTGATGGGGCCACTGATGATTGGAAATGAATGCTGGATGTCACTAACGGGTAAAAGTGAGCGCAACTTTTACATATACATACAGCATACATGAGCATTGGTTTTCATTGTGTAACTGTATGCGTCTTACATGCATCCCAAATGTTTATGAACGGATATGGACATTGCGTAGCTGACGTTGACGGGAGATGAATGCTGCGTGACTGATGCTGAGAGAGATTTGACAATACAACTAGTGCGTGAGGGGACCAGTGCTTGCATGCGTGAACAAATGGAATGTGAAATGAACATTGAACGCTAAGCTTGCGCAGTGAACATAACTTGCGGATCTAACTGCATTACATGTGCGATTAATGAAAGGCATGGCGTTATGGGAACGCTGTTTTATGTAGATTGTATTTACGAGGTGCATCAATGCCGGCGAACTTCGTTTTTAATTATGTTCGACACTCGTCGAACGTTTCATGCTCGCATTTTCTACTTTTTGATAGTCAAGTATAACTTCTTGATAGAATTCCCCCCGCTGATATGTGGAAGACTTAGTGATGTCAATTACAGAAAATCGTAAAACCGATACCAAACCAAATACCAACCAAAACCGTGGGGAAATACCGAAACCGAACCAACTTTGAAAGATGAGGGAAATACCAACTTTTTACCAATTTCTTAGCCTCTTATACATAAGTAAGGGTTCATAATACCAACAAAATACCAAACACACTAGGATTGAAATACCAAAAACCAAGTTGGTATCGGTTTGGTATCGGTATACCAAAAAGTTGGTATCCGTTTGACATCTATTGTGGAAGTGACCACAGTGCGCATGGTCGGCTTTGTACATACACATTGCTTGTCACGATGCTGGCCATTTTATTATGTCGGCAATATACGTGCTGTTTGCCAATGAAAACTGGCATTGTTTTGAGCAGCGAATGAGAATTTTTTAGGTGACATGCCGTTGTGCTTACATATAGGTAGTTAAATACGCGCTTTCACCATCGGGAGAAAACCTAGAAGTATGCCTATAGTGTGATTGACATGTTTTAAGTTTATGTTTTGTGTACCGTCGTGTAGTTGACGTTGCCACGTCACCTATAATTTAATTAAACTAGTTTCGAAAAGGACATGGTTCAGAAATCACAGTATTAAAAGTGAATCACATATTTTTGCATTTACTTTGAGACTTTGGGATTATTCAAAGGAAAGTGTTTGGATATACTAATGCTTTTGTGAGTAAAAGGTAGGTATGATACATTTTTGTTTGAATGTACTAACTAATTCTATTTTTGTTTCATTTCACCAAGAGTGTCTGTGAGCTGCAGCTCGCCATCCACATTTGAAAAGCAGAACAGGGTGCTCGCACCTGGCAAGGTCACCGGTCCCGGTGTTTTGCCCTGTCGTGTCGTGTCAGGGCGCATCAACAGCTGACACGAACATCCCTGACCTGACTGCGCCGTCACGCACAAGGCAGCATCACTTCCAACCCAGGGTCTATCTGAGCTGGAGGCGATAAATGTTTCCAACCATCACTCTTCGAGGATTGAGCCGGCAAGTCGCAACATTTATGCATGTCGTGTGCGAGGTAAAAGGTCATGCGCGTTCTCACCCATTTTAAATGTGTTAACCCGCGCTCCACTGGGGTCTGCGTATAACACGCCCTACTGGGGGGGGGGGGCTATTCATAGCCTCCCCCCCCTCCTAACTCCGAAACTACTGGGCCGATCGTCAAAATTCAAACGGCGTCTGATAGCCCCGGAAAAACTGTCGAGCGAAACCTAATTTCATTGACCTCGAGGTCACCGATGACGTCACAGGTCAGGTCAAAGTAAAAATTATTAGCATTTTGGCTTCTTCACGTTTTGGGCTCTGGCCGCCGTCTTACAAGTCAGATCAGGCTCATTTTTGGTTCACACACTCGGGAACAGATGCTCTAGTTACCCTGAGGGTACCAAACTTGTACTTTGATTTTCAGGTCAAGGTCAGGTCATCACAGGTCACGAAAATATTATATCATGCGTCGGTCACCTGACACATGTTTTATGGTCCATTTAGGTCATAGATTTCGAATTTGATGTCGTCTGTGTTATTCGAGGTCATTTTGAGTCGAATTTAGCTTATGTTAGGTCACTTTCAGGTCAAAAAAGGTCAAATTTTGAAGTTAAAATTTTTCAACAAAAAAGGTGTCTATTGGATGCAGTTTGAGCTCAGGAACACGATGGTGCTATTTATATTGGCGTACGATGTCAAACACGCGCTAAAAAAATGATTTGAAAAATTAATAATTGTGAATTTTTTGCAATAATGCGTAAAACTTGGCCATTTTTGAAGATATTTAGCTAAAACTTGCTAGAGTTAGTCATAATAATGCTTTCTATCACATATATTCCGTTTTTTTCGAAAAGTCAAAAACTTTTTGAAAAAATATAAAAATATAAATTTTGGATATTATTATATAAAATTTTCAAAATTTTCAAAATTTTTGAAAATCCGAGATAGCAGTTTGATAGCGCAGTCTATTCTGAAACCTCTCATGCAAAGAAATTGGATCTAGCTTAAAAACTGAGCTCTTGGGAGTGATTGCCGTGGTTCAATGTTTTGCGTCGAAATCGGCCGAACATGACGTCACTCTGACGTCATTTCCGGCCGACCTATAGTAAGTACGAAGTTCAAATTTTGACACAAGGTGTCAAATTGATGCAGCCTAAGGTACTGAAAGTTTGGCGTCGATACATCAAGCGGTTTGGAAGTTATTACAGAAAAACGGGAGGGGGCTGTAAATAGCCCCCCCCCCCCAGTGGGTCGCGGGTTAAGAAATATAAATAAAATGTTTTGGAAATATGTGGCTGTCCCAACGCTTCACTGGAACAAAATTGCTCATTTTCAAATTGAAAATCATGTTTTTTGTGCAATCGATGACAAAATTTCATTCGTTATAATTGTTTTAGGTCCTCGACAGTTTTTTTTTTTCTATAAACGCCGATAAACTTCAAGTTAAATATTTTCTTAGGGAAATGACCCCAACGGCCAGCACTCGGTCTTGTAAGTTTTGCATTGTCTCAACGAATATGCTATGCAATCCTCAGACTTTCACCGAGGCTTGCTGTAAAGCTCAACATACGAGTATCTCCGGGAGGCACACAATTCACCAAGAGCGCGGCGTTCCGAGTAGGCGAACGGCCTGTCCGTGTCCCGCGAGGGTTAGCTCGCGAGCAGAGTGGATGACCAGCTCGACGGTACTTCGTCGGCGCCGTCGGGGGGGAGGCCCGCCCCCTGGTCCGGAGGGGGGAGGCTGCGCCAGGGTCCGACCGACCGACCAGCGCTGGCCAAAGATCACCGTCGGCTTGTGGCTCCGCTGGCAGCGACGTCCGTTCAGCTGACCAGGGCAGGAGGCAGGCCGAGAGGTGTGTCCCTGTCCGGGACAGGTCGAGGGTGGTGTGTCCCCGCCGGGGACATATACGGGGTGTCCCAACTGGGACAGGTGTGTGTCCCGTCCGGAACAGGTGAATGTAGGGCGGGTGCGTCTCACATAGAGGAAGGACGGACAAGTGAGCGAGGAGTGGAGAACGAGTGAAAGGCGAAATTCGCGGAGTGAGTCCAGTGGTGGAGAGGTGACCGGAGCATAAATGGAAAAATCGGACCTTGTGCGACTAACTGCATGGTAAGTTCATTTGCAGAATAGATGTGTAGTGTGTACGTTGTGCTTTGCGTACTTTATCGCTCTTCAACGCAACTAAAAAGGTGGAGACACTTCCTTCCTTCAAAAGGTAAAAAGGAATTAAATGATGATTACGATTAGCACTATCCGGGGCAGGAACTGCCCTCCTCCCTCCCGTGTTTCTCCAATAGGTGATTTGAAGTGCGCCTTCCTTTCCGAGGATTACCTAATTGTTTGTATGTGTTTTAACACTTCGAACTTGAGCTTATAATATAGTAGAGTTTGAATGAACTCCGTGAAAAACAGTTAGCTGGAAAGTTAAATAAAAGGTATTTAAATGTTCCTATGACCATGTGCTATTTTGTGACTTCTTGATTTGATCTAATATCACCGTGTCGTGAAAGTTTCAGAAAAAACGGGTGTCCCAAAAGTAACGTTTATCATTTGTTTTGGTCATATCTCCAAAAATTTGCGATGGATAGAAATAAATAAGATATCATATAAAAGGGCATTTACAGGTATTTATTGTGGTATACATGTGAGTCAACATATTTCTTCGTAGCCCCATCTTTGCTGCTTTTCTGCATAGTTACCATTTCAGGTCGCGTACATGAAAAGACTGCGTTTGACTTTATCCGCCATTCTGGAACAATGCTCTGGCGGGATACTGGTTATGTTTGCTCGGACGGCTCATCCTTTACCTCTTCCTGGCTCGCTGGATTGTGCTCAATAACAACCTTCCCGTTGTGTACCCAGAAAATAGAAATATGGAGGTGTTAGCCCAGGTGACCGCGGAGGCCGTACGATGGCGGTGCCCTCTGAAAATTACTTGATTTCACATCCACGCTCAGATACAATGTGTGGTCTTCAGGACGGCGCAAGCATGTGGTCTCCGTCCTACTAAAACCTTAACCCTCGCCGGCCGAGGGGGGAGCGGGTGCCCCCCCCCCCCCGCCATAGGGGGTTTTCGCGATGGCTTCGAACACGCTGGAGATAGTGAGCTGAAACTTGGCATACCTGACCTTTGATTCAAGCCGGATCCATTTTCGGGTCAGGTCAGGTCACTGACCTATGACGTCATAAGTGAACCTCTGCACGGTCTTCAGATGTCGCAACTTCGCAACGCCCTCGCTGCCAGAGGAGCTTTCACAGGGAAATGAAACTTGCATGATCTAGTATCCATTACGAGTCGTCTCACATCTTGTACATCCCGGAATTTTCCCAAAGGTCATGTGAGGTCAGGTCATTTTCGTGACCTCACCATTATATGCTCACCATTATTGTTCTGGCGCCGGGAACGATCTCCAACTATCTCAAGCACCCAGAATCGTGATTTGGTGCACTTCTTGCGAGGTTAGATGCGTCACTTTTACAATGTTGACCTTGCGTGACGTCATTTATGAAGTCATTAGGGTCATATTAGTTTTTCGTCCATAACTTCTGATCAAATTGAGATAGCGAGTCGAGAAAGCCACCAACGGACTCAGGAAGACCTGCCAAATCGAATGATATGCGATATGACCTACTTCAACCAAGTTTGTGACCTGAGGGCGCTGACCTGATCGTGACCTGAGGTCAACACCCTAAGTTGATCTCACCCAAATAAAAGTAGGCATATCGTTCGACGCGCCTGAGCGAGGCAAACACGATGCTGCCAAAATCGCGGCTCTGCCGCCGTTTTTTGCGAAGTTATTCACCAAAAACGGAACCGTACCTCGGGGCACTTGACCTGACCTCAGAGGTCACCGGTTGACCTAGGACCTTAAAATCGGGTGTCAATCTCTGCGTCTCGTAACGGCGCACACGCTCGTTTTTTTTCGCGACGCGCTAGCTCCACCAGGGGCGAAACGGCGAGGGGGTCATACCCCCCTCGGCCGGCGTGTATGTAGAAAACCAATAGATCCTGCGAGGGTTAAATAATAACCTTTCTTCTGGGACAACCTGTATGTCAGAAGAATGCTTTAGAGTGTATGAAAAAGTAGATGCTGATGCGTTTCTCCGCTTTCACGCTATCCGCGAAAAGCTAGGAAGCTGCATTAACCTGACGGGCCGGACAACGACTAAAAAGGGCTAAAAAGGAAATAGCAGCTTTGTGGATTGGGCGGAAAAAAAAAACAATGCAAACATCCACCACATGCCAAGTCTCGTAGTCAAATGTATGAAAATATTTTGCTATCAATAGTATAGAACAACATACAATAAAAGATCAGCATTTCTTCGTTGCGACGGTTCATCGAAACTCTCTATCGCTCCCCGATGGAATGATTAAGTTTGGTCACAAAAGAAACAGACCGCGCGGCGACAAGGAACGTCAGAGTGTGGTTGTTTGTGGCGTGGAGCCATTGGCGTTCGTCCAGCAAACATCCCAGTCGCAATTAAGCCGCGACCTGGGCCGGTGTCACACTGCCACAGTCTTTTGTCGCACCAACAAAAACCCAGAACAGGTGAAACCCATTAATCGTCGCCGCAGAGCGACGGGCCATGCCTTTTTCTTGGGCTCCGACTGCCTGCTGCCACAACATACAAAATGAGTGCAAGCATGCATGTGGAATTGTGTGCATTACTAGTTAACCCTCGCCCCGTTGGGGGGGCCATTTTGGCCCCCCCCCCCCTGTGGTTTTTCCTGAATAGCAAGAAAACGGCGGCGCGCAGCGCCGCCAAATTTTCAGTACCTTTTCGGGCATCAATTTGACACCTTCACACCAAATTTCAAGTCTTAGGTCACCTTAGGTCAGGAGTTATTGAGGTCAAACTGAGGTCATGTTCGAGGAAAAATGAGCAAAAAACATGCAATCTTGAAACGCTCACCAAATCTACAGTTATCAAGCAATTTCTTTAGTTCTTTATAGTTCTTTATATGGTCTAATAGACAAAAAGCGGCGCTACAAAACTGCTATCTCGGATTTTCAAAATTTTGGGTTTTTGACCCAAAAAAATTCAAAAAATTGATTTTTTTAGAAAAACTAAAAAAAATCCAAAATTTTTCCGAATTTCGAAAAAAACCGGAATATATGTGATAGTCCCTGCGCTCTTCTATATACATACCAAATTTCAGATCGATATCTCGTTTTTTTACCAAGTTATAGCGAAAAAAAACTGTTCAAAAATGATGACGTCAAATTTTTGAACTCAATTTTTAGCGATTCTAGACCTCGTACGGCAAAACAAAGACCACCATTGAACTCCCCGTGACGAGCTGCATCGATTCGATACCCATTTTATGCAAAAATATCAACTTTGAAATTTGACCTTATTTGACCTGACCTTGACCTGACTTTGACCTGACCTTGACCAAAACGTGACCTAAGCTGGCCCTAAAGGCTGCCTGACCCACATAGTCGCATTTGTCATGTAAAATGGACCATAAAACATGTATCACACGACACTTTCATATTGTGACCCCCCAGTGACCTGACCTCAGTGACCTGACCTGGTATCAGTGACCTCAACTAGCAAAATATGTGTTTGAAGAACATTTCCCCATCGATGATTTTCAATGAAATGCATTTTACTCGATTTTACAACGCATTTCTTGAAATGCCTGTAAACGGTAAAAATTGGACCTTTGACCTGACCTGTGACGTCATCGGTTTGACCTAGGTCAATAAAATTGGGTCACAAGGTAGTTCCCTGATAGGGCTATCCAACACCGTTTGCCGCTTGTCGCTACGTTGCGTGGTTCTCGAGATTTTAGGGGGGGGGCCAAAATGGCGTTACTCGGCAGAGCCCAACGGGGCGCGGGTTAAACGCACGATATAAGATTGGACAAGGTGTATTTATGCATTTGCATCTGCATAAATATGTCCAGAGTCAGACCTATGCGTATGAATGAACCGTCCACCGTTTCAGGCGCATTACCTATTTTTGTAGCATCTCTTAGGTATGAATACCATTTAGGTTGAAGCAAAATGAGGCAAAACGCTGTTATTCATTTAATTGCCATGTTCTGCCAAGATTTATATTGTGAGATGATGTTTTTTGTACTCCAGCGTAGATGGGTAGCCCTACGGCTTCCACGGTTGACAGTGATGACTTCAGTCATCTTTTGCAAGCTCGTTAAGGATTTGGGCTATACGGGGATACAAAAGATGACTGAAGTCATCACTGTCAACCGTGGAAGCCGTATGGCTACCCATCTACGCTGGAGTACGAAAAACATCATCTCACGCTCTCAGTCCCAGCGGATAAAAACAACACCTAACAAGATTTATATTATCTGATTTAAATCGACACTTATTCCGTATTTAATCTTTCCACATGTAAGTTCTTACCACGCCAATTATATGCAAGCGTACATTTGCGTTTTTAGCCTAATGTTTTTTTTTTTTCATTTTAAAATCACGATTTGTTAGTAACGTAATTCATGAATACAAATACTCAATACTCAATGAATCTTCGCTTCCCAATCGATATAGCTTAATTTAATCTTAGACGGCCAGCACACATCAAAGCCAATCGATCAATATTAAACCAATTTCAGTGGCTAGTAGCCGTTTTCACGACGAACTATCCGGCGAATGCACCTAATTTGACCAAATCTGCACCTAACCTCTTTTACAGCAAATATCTTCATTTTATGAATTTATTTCAGTGTTTTCATCGATGATACTCTCTGATGATATGACAAAGCAGGCATATAAGCAATTAGCGCAACCCTAGCTGATAGCTATTAAGAGATACACTGAACCTAATTTGACCAAATCTGCAACTAATCTGCACCAAATGCGCACAAAATGTATACTTTCTATACACTCTAAAAATATTGATCCGGAATGGCTCTTCTTCCGCAGGCTGATCTCGGTGATTGTGTTGGTCGCTGGCGAGGATGAAGATGTGGAAGACCTCTTCGGTCTGGACTACTCCCAGATCAGAGCTCCGAAAGGCATCGGCGGTGAGAGACCCGTAAACAATGTATCGGCTTCGCATTTTTGACGTCAATAGTCAGGACACGTCTCGATGGATAGGATAGGTAGCATAGACTATGCCGCATACGGGTATTGTTGACTCAACCCTGCCCAAGCATTTGCCCTTTCGCTTCCTGATTTTTTTGTGGACTTTGTAAGCAATGTGGATTTTTCGTAAACTGTACCCTAGCAATTGGCATGTTATGATGCTGGCCCATAATAGCACAGGGGTAGGGTGCTCAGAGAGGGAGAGGGAGAAGGTGAGGGGGCTCGTGCACGGCGCCGGGCGCGGGGCGCGGCGCGCGGGACTACCTCCTATCTGGTCAGTGTCTGACGGTGCCGCCCCGGGCTGTTTTTCCCGACCGTGCCTGCCACAGCGTGCGGTCGATACATGAGGCAAAAAGATGACCGAGCTGGCCGCACCTAGGGGTGGTAGTTATTATCGCTAAGGAAAGCCAAGCCATCAGTACGATGATGTAAATAGTACGGTACGATATCCAATGCATCGTATCTGCGTGAAGTATCCAGTACGGGGACCCCACGTATGCAGGCATTCGGTATGGTAAAGGGTGATATTTTGTTACTTATGAAGGCTGATTAGGCGTTAGTGCGATCGAATAAAGCCATGAGTGCAAAGCCTCTTGCACATAAGTACATCATCAGTGCAGGGACGCCATGCGATTCGTCATGACAAGTGATTCAGCGGTAAACTGAAAGCAAGAAAAGTGTGATCAATTTTCAGTGTAAAAAATTGTGATTTTGTCCTCACGTGATCGCAAATTGTAAATTGTTTGTTTTAGGACATATAAAAAGCAAACAGGCAAAACAAGCCGTACACATTAACAGCATGACAAACATAATATAACACAACAAGACGTACATAAACACTCAGATGCTGTGGAACGTTGCCGTGTGTTACATGAGGTAATTACAGCTGGGCCATTATTCCAAATGCGTAAGGCGGCTTTTTGCAGCGCTGCATGAGTTCGAACTCATGGCAAACATTGTGACATTTATTTTATGTTACAGGTGGCCCGGTGCTTGTACAGATTGGCATTCATTTCCTGAACGTGAAGGTCGACGAAGATTCGCAGGTAACAATTTTCATAGCAATTTCAATCATTTCTCATTTTCTTGCTTGCCTTATGCACATGACATATATTAGCCGTTTTCACGACGGCCATCTGGTACACATTTGGTGCACATCTGGTGCAGACTAGGTGCAGATTTGGTAAAATTAGGTTCAGTGTGTCTCTTAGTAGCTATCAGCTAGGGTTGCACTAATTGCTTATATGCCTGCGTTGTCATATTATCAGAGAGTATCATCGATTAAAACACTGAAATAAATTCATAAAATAAAGATATTTGCTGTAAAAGAGATTAGGTGCAGATTTGGTCAAATTAGGTGCACTCGCCGGATAGCCCGTCGTGAAAACGGCTAATGTCTAGAGCCGAGGACTTGCGTAATGCCTTTGGTATTAATTAGGATAAGAATTAGGATAGGATAAAAAATAAAATTCTCAACCTTCGAAATTTTGGCCGAAGCAAAAGTGTAAGCGATGTTCTAAATCTTTGATGTAGTTGTGAACGATGTCCTAAATTTTTGCGGTTCATGATTCCGTGAACCAACAGTATCAAACCTTTTAAAATGGCACTTCACATTCATGCACATGACGGGATTGGCTCAAACGCCAAAGCTTTCTTTGAAAGTTATATACGTAGTTCTGGAGGTATATTGATAATGTTTTCCTATTTTCAGACTCTTCAGTTTGATTGTTATTTGCGCACAGTGTGGCAGGACCAGCGAATAATTGTCCCACGTAAGTCCGATCCGATCGTCAATTGCCATAGGTATCGTTTCAATTGGATACGTAACTTAATGAATGTGATAAAATACCTACCGATAAATAATACCTACACATACAAATAATGCAGACCACTCTGTGTGCAAATGTCCATGGGTCTACGTCTTCGCGGTGTGCTTTGTTTGCTACATATATTTGTAGGCACTACGAATATATTTGCAGATAGGGTGCAGGTGTAATTCGGTTCTGTTGTGATAAGTCGAATGCACTGCAATGCCTACTGACACCGGTGGCGGCCTTTCTCTCAGACAATGCGAGTGAAGTTCAGCTGGACACTGCCATAGTCTCCCGTCTCTGGGTGCCAAACACGTTCTTCGTTCACGTCCAGAGCGTCACGCGTCCTATGCTGCTCTCCGACGCCTCAGGCATCATTCTTTATCAAAACAAAACCGTCTCGCACGTGAGTAGAACACCACCCGTCGTTTTGCCTCCAAGTTTCTCGGGCTGTTACATTTGGAATTCCTCGCGGCTTCGTGCAGATGCCTTCTCTAAGCCGATCAAACCGAAATAGTTGCGTCACGCCGCCTCGCCAAGTTCTGCTTAGCTCCCCAGAGGAACGGTCGCCGTAACTTGGCAGTGCTCAGCTGCGATGCTCCATTTTATGCTGGGAAAGTGGAGCTGAAACTCGTTGGGTGAATGCGTCGCGTTTTCCAGGGCTTGGCATAGCGTCAAGGGTTGAGTGCTAAGCTCAGTCGACCTCAGTCAACCTATCAACAACTTTCAGCGGTCGATGGTTCTACTTCTGATGGCTTAACAAGATTAAAGGTCTAATAGGTATTAAAGAACCCGCAAGGGAACCTGCTGAGTCAAATAAACAAATTTCAACGTAATGCATTCAGCATTTTTGGTGTCATTTGTCACCCGAATAACACCAGGCGCCGACGTGACACAGTCTATATACTCTGGACACACCGGCAAATGAATGATAACGTCATAGTACTCTTCGCGTGACCAGCGCTCGAACAGTTGTTATGGAAACTAGAGTAGACCAGCTGTTCCATGGGCACTCACAGAATGTGGCTCGATATCTGCATTAAAGGTCAGCAACGGGGCATTTTTCATCTCTGTGATTGTTCTGCATAAGGTCATTTTTAGCCTGGATGGAAAATCGTTCTGCGACTGGGAAGATTAGCGAAATAACCAGAATATGATTTGTTTATTTAGCAGTTATGTAAGATAAGTCCTCATCATGAAACAAGTGCATGACATTATTGCATCATTAGGAATCAGCGTTTTTTGTTGATAAGGCCTTAAAGACAGGTTTATTCCAAAGCACATTTTTCAACAATGCATTCATTGCAAGAAGATATTTTCCAGTGTTTGGATATGGAGCACATGATATATGTCTTTTGCGTAGAGCTATACATCCGTGAACCTCCCATAATTGCATTGAATAATGATTTGAAAGCAATGATACTATAGAGCCATTGGTGGTCATGCATATGAGCAGCATAAAGGGTTAGCAAGTCAAATGTTACCCAGCTTGATAGGCGGTAGACCAAAAGTCACCCACCATTCACTGTTAAAGAAAAAACACCAGTTTCCTGACGTAAGTTCTTTGCTACAATGTATGATCTGTTATGCTTAAACTGATCAGAGCAGAAAATAATTAATATTTACGAAAGTAATTTTTAGAATATTTTCGTATTGGAAGAATTTTTCAGATTTTGGTAGAGGCTAAATATGCAGCGGAACTACCGCAGCATATTACGCGGTATATTACGCGTTGACCAAGCATACTGCATTGACTTCAAAACCAACTGCATGCTGATTGGCTGATGATTGACAGGGTATATTGAGTGAATGATTGACCTCTGCAAGAGGTGGCTGGAATCTTTGTGTTCTTAAGGCTGAAACAGACTCTTTCCGCATTCAGGAAATCGCATGCGAGAGCCTATTTAACCCGCTCCCTGCTGGGGGGGGGGGTGTTTGAACACCCCCCTTGTGGTTTTTCGCGAATATCTAAAAAACGGCCGTACGGAGCGCCGCCGTTTTTGGTACACCTTATCATGCATCAATTCTACACATGTTGTGAAAATTTCAGACCAAGGTCATTCAAGGTCAGGTCACCAGGTCACTTGAAGTGACCTCACCTCATAAAAAGTTTCAATGTCTGTCATAGCTACACCGAGTGACCGATCGCTTTGAAACTTTCAGCGATTGCTAAGAGCAATAACATGTACAAAATGTTTATCTCAGAATTTTGATATCGATGACCTAAGGTCAGGTCAATTTTGCGACCTCCCCATTATAAGTCAATGGGAGAAAATTGAAATGCGTCTCTTTTGGACGAAAGACATTATAAACACTCCCAAACACTGAATTACAAGTGGTTTAGACAAACTGAACATGAAAATGGTGTCCGTGACCCCTGTTTATGCCCTGAGGTCATCTTAGGTCATGAATGGTATCTAACAGTTTTCCGCAAATAACTTTTGATAGAGGCATGCTAGAGCGATGAAAACACCTTAGATGTGTTCAGCTCGACGATACGGATCGACTGATATGCAATATGACCCTTTCCGGTCAGGTCATGACCTTGACTTGAGGTCAAATTTTCAAGTTAACCTTTCAAGGTCAAGTTATAGTTCATTCGATGCGTCTTGACGAGAGGAACACAATGCCGGTAAAAGTAAGCTCGTACAAGGCTTGGGTCAAAAGTTATTGCAGAAAAACTGTTTCCGAAAAAAAATCGGCTATTTTTGCAGTTTTTGCCCCCTGCAGGCAAAACCGTTGACGTTAGGTCAAATCTGAGAGAATTACTCAGAAAGGGCGTTAATAGGGCTATCGAATGCGCTTTTCGCGGCGCTGTAGCTCTATTGGTTCCCAAGTTATGCGTTGGCTTCTTGGACATTTTCGACATTCGACCTGGAAATCGGCGAAATTTTGCCTTCAATGACCTCTGGTGACCTGACCTTTGACCTGACCAAAAAATTGACCGAAGTGATTTCGTCATTATTTCTGACGCTCTTTCGAACGCCGCCTTCCGCGTATCGCTACGTGGCCCAGGAGCCGAGTTAGAAGGGGGGGTGTTAAACACCCCCCCCCCCCCAGCTGGGCGTGGAAATCCAGGACCCCCAGCCGGGCGCGGATTAAATACATTATAATTCTTCTCGCATCAATCGCTTGCGGGAGGTGCGTGCGATTGATGCGAGCGTGCTTCCATGTATTTGAATAGGCTCTCGCATGCGATTTCCTGACTGCGGAAAGAGTCTGTTTCAGGTTTAAGGCACGGCATACCTTCATAAGGGACTGATTTTGGAACTTAAGTCGATATAACTTTGGGTAGGGTGATCGTTACGGTGCAAAAGCCTCAGAGCTATGCTAGTTGCAGCTCAAGCTACAAAACTCCTATTCCAGTTAAAAAATCAAAACTCCGTGTTAAAAGTGGCACATTTACATGGATAGGAATCTTTGTTTCCACTCGCTCACGATGACAAATGCATGCTTGCACCGCTATAGGATATGGCAAAACACTGTGTTCTCAGGAAACATTTTGCTATTTCAATCGGGTTGCAAGATAAATAAAATTGCCGACGCGAGAACCTCTTCAGAGGCAGAGAAGTGTTTGTCGGGTGCAGTGAAGCCAAGCAACTTCTGAGAGTTTCATCACTGAGGCTGATAACGTTTCCGAGAATCCAACTGAACATTTCGCTATTTTTTTCCTCCAGAGAAAGCTGATTGTGGTGAAGCTGTCAGTTTCCACATCTCAATATTCAATGTGGAATAAATGCATGCTTGAATGAGTAGACCAAAATGAAATTTGCTACGACAGAAAAAAACGAGCAGTCATGGGTGATGTGTGTTTGCATTTGATGTATATTTTCTTGTTCAAGAGCCTATATTCGTTATGCAATATGCAGAATATATTTTATGTCAGTGCTGAGTCAGTGGCGGTCGCAGGGGGGGGCCATCAGGGCCATGGCCCCCCCCAAAGGCAGATCAGGGGGGGCCATCATATCATTTGCCCCCCCCCCCAAACAACCGATGGGCCCCCATGGCCGTATGGGGCCCTGGCCCGTATTCGATTGTTACGAGGCTCGAGAAACCCACGCCAGCTATTAACAGCTCCCATACCAGTCTTTGAGGGTCCTACACTGACCTCTGAGGGCCCTTCAGTGGCGGTCATGCGTCCACATTGACCGCTGAGGACCCACATTGACCTCTGAGGGCCCTCCACTGGCCTTTGAGGGCCCCTAAACCGGCCTTAGGGGCCCAACCGGCGTCTGAGAGCCTCACACCGGCCTCTGGTGGCCTCATTTCTGTCTCTCGAGTCCCAAGACCAGCCTTAAGCGCTGGATTCTGAAGACCCGATGTCGGCCTCTAAGAGCCCGCATCGGCCTCTGGGGGCCCATCTTGGCCTTTGAGGGCCCTCCGCTGGTTTCTGGGTTCCAACGCCGGCCCATGCCGGCCTTTTAGTGCCCCAAACTGACCTCTAAGGGCCCTATGCTGGCCTGTAAGGACACACATTAGCCTCTGAGTGCCCCAGCACTGGATTCTGAAGACCCAATGCCGGTCGCTCAGGGCCCGCATCGGCGTCTGAGGGCCCATCTTGACCTTAGAGGGCCCTCCGCCGGCCTCTGGGGTCCAACGCCGGCCCATGCCGGTCTTTTAGGGCCCCACACTGACCTCTGAGGGCCCCATGCTGGCCTGTAAGGACACACATTAGCTTCTATGGGCCCCGCACTAATTCTGAAGACCCGATGCCGGCCTTTAGGGGCCCGCATCGGCCTCTGAGGGCCCATCTTGACCTTTGAGGGCCCTCTACTGGCCTCTGGGGTCCAACGCCGGCCAATGCCAGTCTTTTAGGGTCCCATTCTGACCTTTGCGGGCCCCATGCTGGCCTGTAAGGTAAGGGCCCACATTAGCCTCTGAGGGCCCTCCCCCGCACTGAATTCTGAAGACCCGATGCCGGCCTCTAAGGGTTAGCATCGGCTTCTGAGGGCCCATCTTGGTCTTTGAGGGCCTTCTGTTGGCCTCTGGGGTCCAACGCCGGCCCATGCCGGTCTTTTAGGGCCCCACACTGACCTCTGAGGGCCCGTGCTGGCCTGTAAGGACCCACCTTAGCCTTTGAGGGCCCCACACGAGCTTCTGAAGACCCGATGCCGGCCTCTAAGGGCCCGCATCGGCCTCTGAGAGCCCATCTTGGCCTTTGAGGGCCCTCTCTGGCTTATGGGGTCCAACGCCGGCTCATGTCGGTCTTATAGGGCCCCCACGCTAACCTCTATGGGATCCATGCTGGCCTGTAAGGACCCACATTAGCCTCTGAGTGCCCAATTAGGTCTCTGATGGTCTCAAACTGCTCTTTGCAGGCCCTGTACTGGTCTCTGAGGGCCCTAAACTGGCCCCTAAGGGCCCAAACCAGCCTTTAAAGGTCCCACATCGGCCTCTGATGGTCCCATTTCTGTCTCTGGGACCCAAACTGACCCTTATGTGCCTCTGAGGGCCCCGTACTGGCTTCTGAAGGATCGATGCCGGCTTCTGAGGACCCATTACGGTCTTTAAGTGCCTCATACCGACACCTGCGGCCCCACACTAGCCTCTGAGGGGCCCCAAACTGGCCTATGAGGTCTCTACACCGGCCACTGATGGCCCTATTATGTTCTCTGGGGGGCTCATGCCTTACCTTCGGGGGTCATGCACTTGCCTCTGAAGGCCCACATCAGCCTCTAGGGCACTACCTGGGCCTTTGAGGCCCTTCGCTGACCCTTGGGTCCAACGCCGGCCTCTGGGGGGTCTGACGCCGTACTCTAAGGGCCAGGGGCGGTCGCAGACTTGGAGTTTGGGGGGGGGGCCAACTTGGCAAAGGGGCCCCTGCGCTGACCCAGGGGGCCCGGTGCTAGCTTAAAGGGGCCCATGGGCGTAGTGCACGGGTGCAGAAATCCAGGCCATGGCCGGTGAAGCGGGGGGGGGGGTAGGGAGCGGCACCCGAGCGGAGGCTCATTGCGAGCTTTGAGGGTGTACCATGTCGAAAAAATACCGATAAGTGCATTTTGAAGTATTGATATTGTCAATAATTCACACAACTGTGAATGGATTACCGCAAAAATAAAGGCGGCTTAGGCGGCTAACTTTGCCATTTTCTAAGATCATCGTGCTAAAACTTTTGACAGTGGGTCATCGGTATCTGTTCACCGTTCAATCACATGTGTTCCGTTTCATCTTTTTTTTTTACTTGGGCACAAATGTAAGTTTTGAAGATCAATTCATTACAGTAGCAAATGCTTCGAAAGATGGATAGTGGGCAACGGACATGGCAAATATCCTAAATTTTCGTGCTGCATGGAAAGCAGTGTTGCTGAGAAAAGGGGGTTTTGTTCCAGATTGTTGTGGATGCAGAATACATTGTCTGCGCCCACTGCAGAATTATTGTTGGTGCAACTGCGCCCACTGCACCCATGGTTCCTACACTTATGAGCCCATCGATAGCGCTTCGGCGATACCTATCGCCTAGAGGCTGCAATGGGGCCCTTAGAGTACGGCGTCAGACCCCCCAGAGGCCGGCGTTGGACCCAAGGGTCAGCGAAGGGCCTCAAAGGCCCAGGTAGTGCCCTAGAGGCTGATGTGGGCCTTCAGAGGCAAGTGCATGACCCCCGAAGGTAAGGCATGAGCCCCCCAGAGAACATAATAGGGCCATCAGTGGCCGGTGTAGAGACCTCATAGGCCAGTTTGGGGCCCCTCAGAGGCTAGTGTGGGGCCGCAGGTGTCGGTATGAGGCACTTAAAGACCGTAATGGGTCCTCAGAAGCCGGCATCGATCCTTCAGAAGCCAGTACGGGGCCCTCAGAGGCACATAAGGGTCAGTTTGGGTCCCAGAGACAGAAATGGGACCATCAGAGGCCGATGTGGGACCTTTAAAGGCTGGTTTGGGCCCTTAGGGGCCAGTTTAGGGCCCTCAGAGACCAGTACAGGGCCTGCAAAGAGCAGTTTGAGACCATCAGAGACCTAATTGGGCACTCAGAGGCTAATGTGGGTCCTTACAGGCCAGCATGGATCCCATAGAGGTTAGCGTGGGGGCCCTATAAGACCGACATGAGCCGGCGTTGGACCCCATAAGCCAGAGAGGGCCCTCAAAGGCCAAGATGGGCTCTCAGAGGCCGATGCGGGCCCTTAGAGGCCGGCATCGGGTCTTCAGAAGCTCGTGTGGGGCCCTCAAAGGCTAAGGTGGGTCCTTACAGGCCAGCACGGGCCCTCAGAGGTCAGTGTGGGGCCCTAAAAGACCGGCATGGGCCGGCGTTGGACCCCAGAGGCCAACAGAAGGCCCTCAAAGACCAAGATGGGCCCTCAGAAGCCGATGCTAACCCTTAGAGGCCGGCATCGGGTCTTCAGAATTCAGTGCGGGGGAGGGCCCTCAGAGGCTAATGTGGGCCCTTACCTTACAGGCCAGCATGGGGCCCGCAAAGGTCAGAATGGGACCCTAAAAGACTGGCATTGGCCGGCGTTGGACCCCAGAGGCCAGTAGAGGGCCCTCAAAGGTCAAGATGGGCCCTCAGAGGCCGATGCGGGCCCCTAAAGGCCGGCATCGGGTCTTCAGAATTAGTGCGGGGCCCATAGAAGCTAATGTGTGTCCTTACAGGCCAGCATGGGGCCCTCAGAGGTCAGTGTGGGGCCCTAAAAGACCGGCATGGGCCGGCGTTGGACCCCAGAGGCCGGCGGAGGGCCCTCTAAGGTCAAGATGGGCCCTCAGACGCCGATGCGGGCCCTGAGCGACCGGCATTGGGTCTTCAGAATCCAGTGCTGGGGCACTCAGAGGCTAATGTGTGTCCTTACAGGCCAGCATAGGGCCCTTAGAGGTCAGTTTGGGGCACTAAAAGGCCGGCATGGGCCGGCGTTGGAACCCAGAAACCATCGGAGGGCCCTCAAAGGCCAAGATGGGCCCCCAGAGGCCGATGCGGGCTCTTAGAGGCCGACATCGGGTCTTCAGAATCCAGCGCTTAAGGCTGGTCTTGGGACTCGAGAGACAGAAATGAGGCCACCAGAGGCCGGTGTGAGGCTCTCAGACGCCGGTTGGGCCCCTAAGGCCGGTTTAGGGGCCCTCAAAGGCCAGTGGAGGGCCCTCAGAGGTCAATGTGGGTCCTCAGCGGTCAATGTGGACGCATGACCGCCACTGAAGGGCCCTCAGAGGTCAGTGTAGGACCCTCAAAGACTGGTATGGGAGCTGTTAATAGCTGGCGTGGGTTTCTCGAGCCTCGTAACAATCGAATACGGGCCAGGGCCCCATACGGCCATGGGGGCCCATCGGTTGTTTGGGGGGGGGGCAAATGATATGATGGCCCCCCCTGATCTGCCTTTGGGGGGGGCCATGGCCCTGATGGCCCCCCCTGCGACCGCCACTGCTAAGGGCCCCATTGCAGCCTCTAGGCGATAGGTATCGCCGAAGCGCTATCGATGGGCTCATAAGTGTAGGAACCATGGGTGCAGTGGGCGCAGTTGCACCAACAATAATTCTGCAGTGGGCGCAGACAATGTATTCTGCATCCACAACAATCTGGAACAAAACCCCCTTTTCTCAGCAACACTGCTTTCCATGCAGCACGAAAATTTAGGATATTTGCCATGTCCGTTGCCCACTATCCATCTTTCGAAGCATTTGCTACTGTAATGAATTGATCTTCAAAACTTACATTTGTGCCCAAGTAAAAAAAAAGATGAAACGGAACACATGTGATTGAACGGTGAACAGATACCGATGACCCACTGTCAAAAGTTTTAGCACGATGATCTTAGAAAATGGCAAAGTTAGCCGCCTAAGCCGCCTTTATTTTTGCGGTAATCCATTCACAGTTGTGTGAATTATTGACAATATCAATACTTCAAAATGCACTTATCGGTATTTTTTCGACATGGTACACCCTCAAAGCTCGCAATGAGCCTCCGCTCGGGTGCCGCTCCCTACCCCCCCCCCCCCCCGCTTCACCGGCCATGGCCTGGATTTCTGCACCCGTGCACTACGCCCATGGGCCCCTTTAAGCTAGCACCGGGCCCCCTGGGTCAGCGCAGGGGCCCCTTTGCCAAGTTGGCCCCCCCCCCAAACTCCAAGTCTGCGACCGCCCCTGTGCTGAGTGCATGCATGCGTCTCGAGGTTTTCTTGTAAAGCTATCGTATCATGTAAATCTCAAAGATTTGATGCAGATTTTCTTCGTTTTTACATGTAAACACTAAACTTATTTTCATCTTTTTACAGTCGAGTCTCTACCTGACGAAGTATACCTGCAACTTGGACTATCACAAGTACCCGATGGATACTCAGAGATGTGTGGTTCGAATACAGAGCTGTGAGTAATAACAATAACAAATGTTACTGCCATTTGCTGCACGGACCAAGAGTCCAGTTAGACTGTTTGTACTTCTTTCAATGCCTAGCAATGGCCGCGAATATTAAAACTCATAGCCGACGCTTATTAAGCGCAACTTTCAAGTTTTTGTGACGATCTTTGTAAACAAGTCTTTGGTCACTGTGCTGTACCGTTACTATCAACACTTCGATCTGACCACTGCCCACACAATGTCTTATTCCGTCTGTTCGGCTGGGTGGCACTGGCCCATATTGTGGCCGGGTATGACATTTCGGCTATCGATCAAACGCTAAACGATCACAAGGAGAACAATGGTGGCATCTGATCGCCGCTACTGGCCGTGCCAGGACGAGCAGGGGACGATGGTAAACAGACTTTTGGGCTTTGGCGATAACGAATATGGCTGGTCGGATGGCTTCACTTGAAAATGTATTGCAAAACAGGGCTCACATGCACTTTATCATATCCGCAGCTACAACTTGCAGGCCGAAAATAAAATATAGCACCAGACACATGATTCAACAGACAATGAATACAAATGAGGCAGTCTCACATAATTTGTTGAGCACTCTCACAGTTTTCCAAGAAGAGCTTACTACGGCGAAAGCTTGCCTTGACATAAACAGCTCACGGTGGCTTATAAGCTGTTTGCAGAGACTCGTTGAAATATTCCTTGAGACATTTTTATCGAGGCATATTTCTCGCAGGGACTGTTATATTACACAAGCAATCATATAAGGCGATTTGAATTGCGGTGCATATTTGACAACGAATGGCTTGATTCCATTAATCTAATGAATTGTTTTATTCCAGATGGATACACAAACATATCAATGATACTCGGCTGGCATTTCACCGGCATTTCTTGGGACAAAGACATCCGAATGAGAAGCTTCGAGCTAGTAGATATGCGTACACTGGAGCCATCGTTTATAACATTTTTCGACGGTAAGTGGTTTTTAATTACATGTTTCTAATCACCTGTGCCGGCCCGGTGTCAATAATATTGATATTTCAACTGTGCTTTTTCGGAGGGGTCGAACAAAACGGGCAAGGGCCCAAGGGGTCACAACATTTCTCCTTCGTGCGGTTCGCTTTGTGTAAAATTATATTGATGAATGGGATAACCTGATGAATCCATGTCGCCAATTATTAGTTGAAATTGTGTTATTTCTTCTATCGCTTCGATTTGTCTATTGTCCTATGCAGGCAGCTACTCAGAGTTGAGTTTCGAGGTGCTGCTGGCGCGCAAGGTACGCAACTCCGTCCTCTCCGTGTACGTGCCAAGCACGATGCTCATCATAGTCAGCTGGCTATCACTCTGGGTAAGCAACATCTCGGTTCACAACATCTAGGACTTAACATTAGCCGTTTTCACGACGGGCTATCCGGCGAATGCACCTGATTTGACCAAATCTGCACCTTATCTCTTTAACAGCAAATATCTGTATATTATGAATTTATTTCAGTGTTTTCATCGATGATACTCTATGATAATATGACAAAGCAGGCATATAAGCAATTGCGCAACCCTAGCTGATAGCTAATAAGAGACACACTGAACCTGATTTGACCAAATCTGCACCTAATCTGCACCAAATGTGCACCAGATGTGTACCAGATGGCCGTCGTGAAAACGGCTATTCTGAACCTAATTTGACCCAATCTGCACCTAATCTGCACCAAATGTGCACCAAATGTGTACCAGATGGCCGTCGTGAAAACGGCTATTATCTCCCCATTGACATTTTTGTTACGGCGGCTAGCCATGGATTGGTGAGGGGCTAGGTGATGGGTTGCGAATGGCGATAGCTGACGTGCATTTTTTAGCACGGCATTGCAAGTCACAAAGTGGAACAAAACTCGGCAGGCCGAAGACGATCACTGTGTTTCCACGCATGCTATGTTGCGGTCTTGCTCATCAACACGACGAAAACACACAAAATGCGCTTCTTCGCAAGAAATGTCCTAGCAATTTACTACAATCACAGAAGCGTGACTGTCCATAAAATCGCTGACTTGCTTCGGCCGTTCACGTAACCCAAGCTAACCGTTCTGGTTTCACACACAGGTGCCCCCGAAGCTGGTGCCGGGCAGAATGGTGCTTGCCATCACCACACTGCTGACGCTGACAGGACTGTTCAACGCTAACGTGTGAGTTATGCCGGGGACAAATGTAACACCAATACCTGCTGATGGGCCTGTTCATCGCTAACGTGTGAGTGTCCGGTAACAACTTTGATGCTTAATTACGTTAATTACCAGTATAACGCCTTTTGGGGCGACTAACGGAGCGAGCGAGAGGGTGAGCCTTGCACGTGCGAAATTTCGAGGGGGTACCTCCAGCTGACTTGTGCACGGCACCCTACTAACCGGTGTCTAGCGGTGTGCCAAATTTGAGCACAATCGGCCCAGCCGTTCTCGAGATCTGGAAGCGGCACCCTGCACGTGCGCACGTGCAAAATGGGTCCCAACTGACTTTTGCACTGCACCCTACTAACCGGTCCCTAACCATGTACCAAATTTGAGCGCCATCGGTCCAGCCGTTCTCGAGATCTGGAATCGACCCCTGCACGTGCGCACGTGCAGCAGCACCCCAACTCTGGCACATGGATATGCATTGCCTAGAGGGTGCCTACCTGCATGCCAACTTTCAGCGCAATCGGCCAAGTAGTTACCGAGATATTGCAACAATTACAAAAGTGACACCTCTTCGTTTTGCACGTGGCACGTGCATAAGGGGTCACCCACATGCATCGGGAATAGTCCAATACTTGGTAGAAGGAATGAAGCTACCCTACAAAAATTACCGCGTGTAAATCGGTCAAGTGGTTGCTGAGATATAAGCGTCGCAAAAGCGTGACCACGGCCGGCCGGCCGGCCGGCCGGCCGCTCATACTCAGAAATTTCCGTTAATCTAAGGAAAGACTACGCTCGCTTCGCTCGCTCCGTAACAAAGTGGTTTTGGCCATTACCTTATGTAGGAAATTACGCAGTGCACTGCCACTATCATTGCCATTAATACACTAGCACGGTGTGCAGTGGGCACGGGCGGCCGCCCGGATCGATAAAAAAGGTCATACCGGGAGGTAACTCAATAAACGTCTTCTCTGGGCCCGACGTTATCCTCCCATAAATATTCAGTCGTATGCCCAGAGGATACAGACGTGGCATATCGGACATTTGCGGCATTGCCTGTTGTGTTTATATCGGACTTTGCGGCATTGCCCGTGTGTTCATATCGGACATTTGCGGTTCTGCCTGCATGTGTGTTTATATCGGACATTTGCGACATTGCCTTGTGCATGCTACATCGGACATTTGCTGCATTGTCTGTGTATTTGTTTGTGTTTGTTTGTGTGTGTGTTTGTTTATGTGTTTGTACGTGATAAATGCGCACGTCTGTCCAGCAGCCAGAGTATGCCCGAGGTGAGCTACGTCAAGGCGCTGGACGTATGGATTCTGGCCTGCATCGTCTTCGTCTTCGGCACCATCGTGGAGTACATCGTCGTCCTCAGGTTTGTTCACAGTCCTCAGGTCTGTTCATAGTCCTCAGCTCTATTTATAGTCCCAAGGTCTGTTCATTGTCCTCAGGTCTGTTTATAATCCCCAGGTCTTTTAACGTTGTGTAAAAGCTGTTTATTCCTCAGCTCTTTTGTTGTAGTCCTCATGATTGTTGAGGTAGTCAATTCATTAATCATAATGAATAATGATCGTCGTAATAATCAGCTCTGTTGTCGTTGAAGTCGCAAATCTGCAGCAGTCCCCAGACCAATTGTAGTCCTCAGGTTTGTTATCGTAGTCCTCAGGTCCGTTAGCGTTTTCCTCAAACTAGGTCATTTTGCTTCAATGTGGTGCATGGCTGCCAATTAAACTAAAGTATCTTTTGAAAGTTGTACTCGTATCTTCAGTGCCCTCCTGCAGCCCTGCATTGACTGGTTGTTCTCGTTGCAGACTCTTTTATGACGGCGACCAGACGGCGCCGTCTCCCGACAAAAGAGCGCAGGTAACTTTTGGCAAAGTGTTCAGCGAGTCCAGGCATTCCACCGGGCGCTTCATCCATTCTTGAAACTTAATCAATGAGGCTAGAAATTAGCCACTAAATTCGCACTTGATTAGCGTATACATTGGCATGTGCTATCGCCGCTACTTTCGTTTTAAAACAAGCTCATTAAGCTCATATAACTACTTGTCACTGGCTTGTTTTGCACGTTTTCATTTAAAGAAAATTGTTCCAAACGTAACGAGTAGTTGCACTGCTCAGCGTTAATTAAGCAGTCTTATATCTCGCTGCAGGAAGTGAGCTGGACAGAGTGTCGGAAGTGGAACGGAGTCGAGAAGGCCGTGGTGCTGGAGAAGGTCTCCCGCGCTCTCTCTCCAGTCATGTTCCTCATTTTCAACGTCGTCTACTGGGGATATTACCTGACTACGGATTAATATCAGATCGGCGCGGCTCAGCGATCGATCAGGTTGTGTTCGGTGCCCCTGGCGGCGGACGCTGAAACCGTACCTCCGCGCGCACCTGAGCTAGATCATCCGGTGCGTAATTGATGAGTGGTGCTGCTTTGCTCCCTGTGAAGATCGCCGGTGCTGCTTTCATTTTTAGCGTATGTGCTAATAGTTGGTGTCGTAAGATTTTCTCGCACATGAGCGTACCGTAAGGTGGGGCTATTTGAGACAGTGGGGCTATTTGAGACAGTATTTAAAATTGCTATAGAATAAAAACCACTTAAGATTCATGCTTAATTTTTTTGCTCAGGCGATTTACTGCTCGATTCCACACCTTCCTGTGCAAAAATATCACACAAAAATCAAACGATCTTCATTTTATAGCGATTTTAAATACTGTCTCAAATAGCCCCACTGTCTCAAATAGCCCCACTTTACGGTACCGGTTTTAACCAGAGTAGTAAAGGGATCTTAGTTTTAACTACCAATTGTGCACTTCTCAGAAGAAAAATGAGCTGCATCATGTATATTTCATGCAAGATGGTGCACTATTTTCAGATGCTCCACTTTTTGCTGTACATATTGTTGTTTTACCTGCACGTACATTGTACAGCACTGCACAGTTCACATTATACATGCATAAGTAAAGCCCTCTCGGTGCTGCGCTTACACTTAGAAGGGAGGGTATATTTTTATTGATTGGTTAGGCAATAACAGCTGTGTGAACTGACGGTTCAAAAAAAAATGTAGCATTGAACGCTAGGGGACATTTTTGTGAGGCTCGCCTTACATCTTGTACAGTCGTGTACAGGTTGATGGTCCCCTACTCTTTATCCACCGGGTTCCTACGGCTCAGCATTGGCAGCAGCCGCCTGGTACCGGTAGGCTGTGCCGCATGACCCGAGAGTGAAGCGGCACAGTCTACCCACGCCGTTTGACATCGGCTCGGGTCGCCGGGTGGAGCGCTTTGTAGACCAGCTGTTGCGTCAGAGCAGCGCGGGGGGAGGGGCTCGTCTCGGTGGTTGGCGTGGGCTGGCGAGTGGTGTGGGGCGTGTTGGTGGACCATGGGGGCTGGGCGTGTGTGTGTGGTCACTTGCTGCATTGCACATTTTGCGTCGCGGAACAATTGCATTCCTGTTTTTGCTAGGCACAATGCACGGAAGACCCAGCGAATATAATTTACTTTACTTGTGCATTGTGCAAAACGTGATTTGGCACGGTATCGAGGCAACCATAGGTCTTGTGCCTATGCATGCTATTTAGGCAATACGTTTATGAAAACGGTAGATTGATGCTGGATGTCAATTCGTATTGCTAAATGTCGGCACGTATTAAATGAATGAATGAATCAATCAATCAATCAAACAATCAATAGACATGTATAAAACCGTTTAAATGGCTCGCAACCACTAATAGCAATCACACCATCCTAAATCGGAAAAGCAGCCGGAGCCCTGATGAGGCTCGAACCGGGACTCCACGCTGTAAATTTTGCCAATTATCCATCATCATTCCACCAAGCTAGAGTAACCGGCACCCGAACCCACAAAAACATTAATTGACTTTGCCGCCGACCTCCCGGCCCCGCCTCCCGCCCGGCCAGACTTTGCCCCGGCCATAGCCACCATCCGGTGTAGCTCAGCGTAGGAGTGCTTGACTGTCAAACTGACCGGTAGTGAGGGGCCCGGTTCGAAACGCTTCGGATGCTGGATGTTTATTTCTCGGTGGGAGGCAACGTTTAGTCCACTTTTCAGAAAGATCATTTGGTGACTGACCGGTTTTCATTCTTTGCTGCAATTCATGAGGAGACCGTATATGCAGTGCACCCTTACCTGTCCTTCCGCACCCCACTTGGGAGATGGGTGGTTGCCCCCCCCCCCCCCCATGGGTTTGTGAATATCTCTAAAACAAATTTTTGGAGGGGGATACGATCGGTTCTATGCGACAAGTGACCACACACGCCCAGCCCCAGGTCCGCTCACTCCCTACCCATATCACCCCCTCCCCACACCACACTCCAGCCCGCCTCATCCACCGAGCCGAGCCATAACGAGCCTCAGCGCCCCGGGGCGCGACCTGTCAGCGAACACTGTTATATAATAACAGTGACAATATATCAAATCCGTGAACTCCTCTATGAATGTCGTCTCGCAGATCTGGCAGTTTGGGCTTCAACGACTGAATGTTGAGGTGTCCAATTATCAGGTCTGGTCCAGTGTCGCCGTGGCGGCGCCAGCTCGCGCCGCCTCGATGTCCCCGACGCGTGGACGCGCCCCTGCCCCCGCGGCGCACGCAACCGCCGGCCCGCGTCCCCGCCGGTTCGCTGACAGGTCGCGCCCCGGGGCGCTGAGGCTCGTTATGGCTCGGCTCGGTGGATGAGGCGGGCTGGAGTGTGGTGTGGGGAGGGGGTGATATGGGTAGGGAGTGAGCGGACCTGGGGCTGGGCGTGTGTGGTCACTTGTCGCATAGAACCGATCGTATCCCCCTCCAAAAATTTGTTTTAGAGATATTCACAAACCCATGGGGGGGGGGGGGGGCAACCACCCATCTCCCAAGTGGGGTGCGGAAGGACAGGTAAGGGTGCACTGCATATACGGTCTCCTCATGAATTGCAGCAAAGAAAGAAAACAGGTCAGTCACCAAATGATCTTTCTGAAAAGTGGACTAAACGTTGCCTCCCACCGAGAAATAAACATCCAGCATCCGAAGCGTTTCGAACCGGGCCCCTCACTACCGGTCGCATATTTACGTCTGGACAGCGAGTTGCGTTGGAGAGGACGGAAATAGTGGCGATTTCAGGACCGCAAGAATGGACCGTCATTGGAACGATTCTTTTTTTAACCGTGCACTGTTTTCAGCCGGAATGTAATAGGCACTACAAATTATTTTTTGATTACATTTCCACCAAGAAAGAATACCATCAGGGTTAAGTTTTTACTACAAAAGCATTTTGTCAAGAAGCATATAGTGCTGTTTTATTGCAGTTTTTGCGCGTTTGTTACAAAATATGAAGCGAATAAGCAAAACTGCAAAGTAACGGTATATAGGGCTCTTGTATAGGGCCTTGAAAGTAACGTCGATGTTTACCTATCGCAAAATATTGTGTTGACCTCAAGTTGCTCTTGCTCTTGTCCATCCCCTAAAAGTTATTAAATATTTTGCTTTGTGTATTCCAAGAGGAAAGGGAACTATTTTATTCGTGCCTTCATGTCAGAATTGAAGGTGGATCATTAAATTTTCAACGCAGTTTATCAACAAGCATTTAGATTTAGTCTGTCTCGTATAAGCAGTGGCTAAGAAGAAAAGGTTGATCAATCCTGAAGTTCAGTCATCGTACCTCAACTTGGCAGCAAGATCCCCAAGGACAGAGGATATATTGTATACCTGTCCTGTAAATCAAAACATTTTTGTGCCTGCAAAGGCTTAAGTTATTTGTGGTATGTTCGGAGTGAGGCTATATGGCTGTTTTTGTTGTATGTTTATGTGGAGATTGAATACAACTGTGATCCTGTGCTTGTTTGTATACTTAATAGTTACTACAGTCAAACAGGGAACAGCGCATTCACATAACATACTCACCTAGCACCTAACTCATAGCTGCATCCCGCAGGATTTGTACTTGTTCATGTCTCAAGCATTAACAAAGCACTAAAGTAGCTTAGTTATCATTTCCGACATTTTTCTGAGCATCTAGCATGACATACAGCAGTGCAGAGCAGCTTCAGAGAAGAAACTTTAAATGCACAGACTCACACCAGCCACCCAATGAGCCAGTTCCTCAGTTGACTGTTTCCCTGGATGCAGCTTGGCAAGGTGAGCTAACTGTTCACAAGTTGAAGGTTAGCAGGTAATGAGGTAAGTTTGAGTTAGGGTGAGTACCTACCTATAACTGGGTGCTACTACTATGCAGGTCTTGGGTAGGTTGCAAATATGTGTGATGATTGAGGTTAGGTCAGCTGTCAGGTTAGTCAGGTATGCTCACTGCTCAGGTCACATTTTTATGGACACTTAGCAAATTAAAAAAACTAACATAACCTAATCTAAGCTAACCTGACTAAACCTACACAACTACTCACTATAGGAATAAAGCACCTACCTACTTGTGCCTACATCTCATACCATGTCAAAGTAAAGTTCCTTGGTGGAAGATTACCCTCAGTACTATTTATCCCGGTGTGAAGAAAACTAATACTTCTAAGTTCTGAGTCACTGCTGGTCATCCACAGAAAGAAATGCTGAGCTTTGCCATTGTACATTGGACCAACAATCACTATCACGAATGACTATGAACACATTATATGATCACATTGTTGCATGCCGGATTGTCACATTGACAATTTTACTGCAATCCTTTTTTCAAGAAATACAGTAACAATTAACATCAAAATCAACATAAAGTGGATTTAGTGATCCAAGCTTTCTCCTCCAGTAGCAATGGAATGATCGCATGCTTCATTTGCCAGACTCTGAGTACCTGATGCACATTACCATCTGCATAGCATCTAAGCATAGTAAAGCTGCCTGAGGATCCATTCATTCTAGATTTTTCACTTGATAGTTACCACTAATTTATCTTGCTGTTGTAATTTATCATTCAATTTTCATACCAAAATATCAATATGCGCTCATAAGTCAACATTTTCTGGCATAATACTGCTCAGCGTGCTCTTCAGTATTGATCCAAGATCTCTTGCAATATCATAGCTTGTTGCGGCCAATAAGCTCTTTTAATTTTACTTTTTCTTGCTGATATGTGAGCCCGATCAACTTGCGTTTATCAACCGAAATTTCATAACTTCAAGTTGAAGCAACTTGATATTGATATTGCTCAGGACTCAGCCTCAGGTAGGACCTCTGTCAGCCTCCTGGGTACATGGGATTGTTTTCAGTTAACATGCTTCTTAAATATGATATAAGTCAATCTTAAGGGATTCAAAACATCCAACAAAACGACGTACAAGAGTACGGAAACCACCAGATAAACTTGAATAGGGCCTTGCAACAGAGCCAAGTGGTGCTCCATTTGTTTGTTTACCATTATTGTAGTGCTGATGTATTTTTAGGACTCTGACGGTCGGCTTATAAAAAAAAAATGAAACGTTTTTACAAAATTTGTACAGCAAGAAATATTTATCTGAAAGAACTAAAATATTCAAAAGCCAAACACTATGAAATACATGAATTGGAACGAAAAAGTAACCCAAAAATCCAGCCTTATCAACGGCTCCTAAAACTGCGACAAA